CGGACTGTTTTTAGGGTAAAATTAGTTATTTGGGGTAACACGTGCATGCAACCTTGTAATAAGTTCGTGGCTTGTAAATAGTTCGTCATTACTCAGCGTAAATGGCTTTTCATTAAAAATTACCCGGCGACGCATCTTTAAAATGGCTGGCAACGCTTTGAGCTTAAAAATCCATATATTGCCGACGCTGCATCCACCCTCTGCATAGTGGTGTAATTGAGGGGTACCGGTACTTGAAATCAATGTTTTTCTGATATTTAAATATATTCCTAAAAAGAACTATACAACTAAAAAGATAATAGTGCCCTGAAGACAGAGCTATAAAATATCATGCCTAAAACCCCTGGGGCCCTGGCCCCTACCATGGCTGCCAACAATGTGTTCCATATTGGCACTTGTGGCTTCTCATCAGTGTAAGCTAAAGTAAATGGCAAATTCCTCACTACTGTAGCATAGTTCAAAAAACTTATTTACTGGAAAAGTATGCCTTGAAGTTTAGTAAATTTTACCTACTGTTATGCATCTAAGAATCAAGTGTCATCTACTCAGACATCTGCTCATTTGTTCTTCAGGTTTAGGGACAACACACCAACAGTTGAGAACATTTATACTAGTTTTACCAATAATATTTTATTTTAGAATCTGTATCATAACAAAACAGATATTAGACAGCATTAGAGACTAGTATTTAAAGAAAATGTATTAGTTTTGTTACCTGATGCTTTGAATCAGTTTGGGGATGGTCAATGTGGTGGGAGTTGGTGTGGGAGGCAGTGGGCAGCAGCAAGAGAAGTGCAGTATTTTGTCACTGTCTGACTTCATCCTGTCTTCACCATCACTCTCATTGCCACCTGCACCTCCTGACATAAGTGAGCACATTCATCTAGACATGGAGATCCACAAGCCTGACCTGGATGGACAGTTGGACACTACCTATGCTCGTGCTACTCTTCAATGTCGAGCTAATTCTCATCCATTCAATGTGAGGAAATGAAATGAGTTTATACATGGCAATTGAATAATTTATTCCTTTTATCTATTTTGTAGTATCATACTCTCCTTTTGTGTTGTATTTTCTTTAGGTAATGTTCCATTTAACAAAATCAAATTTATTATGCATCAAGATGTGTAGAGCTGTATTTAAAGGGTGCTCATGTAGTTTCTATCAGAATTAGGATACAATTTTCTCAAAACTTGGTTTGAAATTTCCCACTCCAACCTAATTGATACTTCATATTTGTTGCTTTACGATGTAGGGTTCACATTGTATGTATCTAATGCAAAATTTGTTTATAGGAACGCTCTCTGATCCTGAGTTCACCTGTCAAAATTGGTCGTTCTGTTGCCCGCTCCCGCCCATGCACTTCTAACTCTATATTTGACTGCAAGGTTTTAAGTCGTAATCATGCCTTACTATGGTATGAAGATGGCAAGGTAAGAACAATTACTTCAGTTTTACACGAAGGTATTATTCTGTTTATTTTTTTAAAACCATTGTTATTAGCAATGAGTTGCAGTGTCTATGCATTTCTCGTGAATGCTGCAATCTACTTGATTTCATGTATCATGGAAAAATCCTTTTCTGTTTATGATATTAATCATATTATCTTTTATATCATTCATCTTATTTTAAGTTATGTTACTTCTTATTATTGAGATTTACAAGAATCACTAAATCAGTCATTCACAATTTACAGTTTTATCTACAAGACACAAAGAGCAGCAACGGGACATTTGTAAACAACCAGCGTCTCAGCAAAGGGTCAGAAGAGTCTCCACCAAAAGAAGTTTGCTCTGGTGACATTGTTCAGTTTGGTGTGGAGGTTTTGGAAAACTCAAGAAAAGGTACCTATCCTTGCATTGCCAGCTACTGTTCTTTCTGTAATTTACATTATCCTCAGTTATGCGCATTGTTAATGTTATTTGATGTTGCTATAAATTTGCAATTTAAAGCCTACAATAAATAGTTATTGTAGCTTAGTGTGGTATTTCAGTTGCTCAGATTTTTTTTTTTCAAAATTCAGTCATAGGTACCATTGTTTGTACTGAATATGTATTTTAGATAATACCATACCTACCTAACGAGGAGCAATAATTTTTTTATTCACTTGTAATGAGTACTGTAGCTTTGCTCCATCATGTTTGGCAGATTTTCAAGGAAAGAATTATATCAAAAGTGGGTGTTCCAATTATTTATGTTCAAACACAAAACTCATTCTGGAGATTAATTTAGTTACATATAATAATCTGTTCACAACGATTTTGCCATCAAAATGTTTACCATCAAATATTATCAAATCACATCCGCTGTGGTCACTTTATAGCGCATTTTCTCATTTATGAAAAAAATGCACTATTGCGCTTGCCCTGTCTGTCCGTCCGTCCGTGACTTCACGTTTTCGTTGACAAGAAAATGCGCTCTCTGTCACTCACTACAGTGAGTACTGAGTTATATTTTTTTCCAATATCTGAAGCAATAAGCTAAATAAAGAATATGAAAATATCTTTCTGCACCTTTAGGAATGAAGTGTGTTTTCTTACAATTTTTTTGAGAGTTACGGTAACAAACTAACTGCTTCAATGAGGATTCTTTTACACATTCATTCAATTGATAGAAGTGTTGTAAATCAATAAATTATTTACTTCTTGAAGTAAAACCTGGGCAGAGCAACAATATTTCCCTTAACTTCTGACTTCCATTTTAGCCACAAAATTCTATTAAAAAAAAAGAAGAGGTTCAAAATGCTTTTTTTCTTAGATTTGTTTTACTTGCCTGATTTGACTGCTCAATGAACCAATGATGCAGAGTGACAAGTGCCAATTTTCAAATATTGTTTTTCACTTCTGCTTGACTATGCTAGCTTAAATGGCTTACTTCTTTGATGTGCACATACCAACAAAATTCTCATTTACAGCATGAGATAAGACGATGGTTTTTAAACCAGCCATGTTTGTGTGAAAATTTTGAAGTTGAAACAGGACAGATATTCATCCTTAACTTGCAATAGCATCTAAGCCTCCAATTGCTGAAGTTCTGCCTCCAGCAAATCATTCATTTGTAAAAGCATTCATCATATGTCAAAAATACATCAACTTCAAATGAATTATTTTATTATTGTTTTTTTTTTTGCATCTCAACATATTCAATTTCCCTACTATAAAATAAAAAATGTAAATTCCTATTTCGTATTTGACTAATAGAGGAATAACTTTTAAGCTAATTCTCATTGAAGTTGCTAACATATTTGTAATTCATGTTGGTAGTTCCAAAGGCACTTCTGAGAGTGTCCAAATCAGAAATCATCTCAAAGGATGCTCTGATCACAAAACAAAAATATGTGACCAGCTCTTGCACACTAATAAATTTGCATCAATTAGAAGATTTTGAATTAATAAATTGTTAATTTTTGTACTAAGACTAAGCAGAAATGCTTTGTGTATGCAAGGTTGTTCATTCTTGAAAGTAACAGAGTATATTTGCAGGATCTTCTGTAGTTTCTCGTGTACCACAAATCTTATTAATAATTCTAAAACGATTTCAGTGACTCACGGCTGCATCATCGCGACTCTGCGCCTGTACCTGCCGGGCGGAGAGGAGGCGAAGGCAAGCCCTAACGTGGGGGTGTCGAGCCTGACGTGCGAGACGGGCATTGAAGTGCAGCAGCTGAGGACAGCGTGCTGACCTTCAAAGTCTGCCAGTCGACATCAATGAGATCGAAATATCCGACCATCGACTACTTCAGTGGACGGTGTCATGTGTGCGCCCGGCGCCAGCGTACAACATCATTACCTGGCGTCCGTGACGCGTTCTTGGCGGCAATGTCTTACGCGAAAAATTGCAGTCGGCCTAACTCATGGTTGGCACCATCAGTGAACGACCTGGTAATACTCTAAAATACCGAGCTGACCGGTGCACTCGTCGACCTCATTCCTGCACACGCACTTCGGGTACCCCAATGAGCCTCCGACACATGGTTCCATGATAAATGTCTGGTCTCTAGGCAGGGGTTTGACTTCTTCAGCAGGCTGTCTACCGGGCGAACTGACGTGGCAATCATGCTGCTGCCGCTGCTGTGGCCTCCATCTAGCGAGATGCGAGGCTCAATTATGTCGAATTATGCTGTGCGAGCGTCGTCAGCCGATGCTCCGCCGGCAACATTGGCACCGTGCCCGTTTGGCTGTGTGCTCCAAGAATTACCTTGCGTCACAGCTGACGACCACATCGCTGCAGTGCTGCACGCGCTGCCTAACCAGCAGTGTGCCCGCAATCCGCAGCCGGCGTTGTTACTTAAGGGGAATGTTGTAACCCTAGCACCTTTTCTGGTTGAACTTTTCAACCGCTTAATAAGCTTACATTAGGCGTCTATTGAAAAAATCAGACCTTGACGCTTCCGATCCTAAATCATATTGACCCATCTTCAACCTGTAAATTTTGTCGAAACTCCTGGAAAGCTTTGTGGCCCAACAACTAAACAACCATTTTCAGCAGTCTGATTTCATGCTTCTCCTCCATTCTGCGTAGGTACCATCTCCACTCGACGGAAACCGCTGAGCTAAAAGTGCTTTCAGACATTCTGCGAGCAGTGGACCGCAGCGACATTGCAGCACTGGCTTTACTCGACCTGTCGGCCGCGTTTGATGCGATCGACTACGCCAAATTTTTGCCCTGACTTGACGGATCATTCGGCCTACTCGGCAAAGTGCTGCGGTTTCTCGAGTCTTGTCTCAGCAGTAGCGTTCGGCGCGGGAACTCTTCTACGCCATCGTTGGTCACTTGCGACGTACTACACGAATCAGTTCTCGATCCGATCTTCCTGTAGTATACGTCGACATATTGCACATAATTGATTCACGTAGTTTGAATCTGCATACGTTTGCCGACGACACCCAAATTTAGTATGGGTACTGTGCACCGGCTGATGCTGGACCGGAGGTCCAAACGGATCGTTGACGCTGGATCGTTGCAGGACCGGATATCTGTCTGCATGGACGCCGTCCAGACTAGATGCGCTCACCGGCTCCAGCTTTATGCATCAAAAACCAACTTTATTTGGTTTGCAACTGCTCGGCACTTGCATAGGCTTCTGGCCAACCCTCTTCGCGTGGAAGAGTTCGTCATGCCTGCATCTTCGGTTCGCAACCTTGGCATTCTGCTGGACTCGAAACTTTCTATGAACAATCACAAATGCACCAACCCTTGTTTTGGCGCTCAGCGTCGAATACGTAGCGTCAGCCGCTGTCTCTCGAGGCCCTCGTAATGGCGCTCGTTCTGACCCGATTCTATTATGGTAATGCCACACTCTATGGACTTACGACCACGGCACTAACTAAACTGCAATCCGTAATGAACGCTACAACGCGACTCGCGTACAATAAGCAAAATTTTGACCAATTGATGCCAATAGGGTTGCTTCAAGGCGTCAAGTTCACTGTTTTGACAAACCTTGAAATTCAAGGTCGCTGTTTTGACGTTCCGATGCCTTCACGGTCTGACGCCTCCTTATCTCACGGAATGTCTGCAGCGCCTGTCTGATCTGCCTTCTAGAACTTTGACTTATGTCATAATCATTTGTGATGAAAATGTACATTTTGGATTTAATATGTTTTATTGTATGCTTTTCGCTCTTGCTTTATTCATGTCATTTGGTCTGTATGACAGGATACATATTCATGCCCCACTCTGAATTCCAGCATTATTTTAGTATATTGCCACCCTTCTAGTTAATCCCTCTTATTATTAAGAACACATTCTATTAAATTATTCTTATTTTGAACGTCACTCGGCACACATGTGACGCATGTTATTGTTTTACAAGCGTAGGAACAATGTTGAATATTTATTTATTATTAATAACGCGTTGATATTCTCGTACGTATTTATTTAATTTATCAGGAGGCTGCCAGTCATTCGTGGTCCGCCATGATAGGCGAAGATCGTCTCCTGCAGAAGCTGGACATGATGGAGGCGCAGCTCATGGCCTATACGAAGGTATTGAAGGTTTTCTGCAATATTATTCTAAGTCAGTTAATTACTATTACTATCATATAATTACTGATAGGTCGAAAGTGTCAGGCAGACTGAGCACTTCAAGTGTCACTTCACTCAGAGCTTCCAATCCTTACTGCTCGATCACTTTCAAATCGCTTTGTGAACTATGTCGGGAAGATAAATAGTTGTTAAAACATTAAAAGTTTTAAATGCAAGAACTCTCTGAAAAATTATATTTGAAAATTACGTAGTTTAACAATAATAAATGAATTTAATAATAGTTTTTCATGGGGAATTTAATCTTGATTGCAAAACCGTTTGGTTGAGGAATCTCCTGATAAGATATGACACTTAGAATTACTTTTTCTTTACTCTCTTATTTTACACTACATTGCAGTTTCTTATTTTACACTTCATGGCAATTTGAAAAGAATTGACTATTATTTCCTTATTGCAGAACTGGCCAGAAGACGAGCTGCGTGAAGAGATAAGGCGGCTGCTGGAAGAGAAGTGTCAGTACGAGACTCACATGAAGGAGAGTCTCGCAAGAATGCTCAACCATAAGTCGCTGGCTCTTGCCAAACTCGCCGACGCAGAGAGGTTCGAGAAAAGAAAATTCAATTTAAATATTAGTGGCCTGAACAAACTAGCTCTTGTACTGAATGTTTCAGGAGGAAAATTTTTTGAAACTTATTTCAAAGTCAGAATTTGATACTATCTTTCCTTTAGGTCCTTGAAGGCAATAGACAAAACTACTACAGAGAAGGTTTCTGCCAATGCAAACTTGTGACCAAACGATAGGCTTATTTATAGCCTGAAACCGGAATCTGTTTCAAAGTTTAGATGTAACATACTCATATTTCTAACTTTATTAAAACGTTGACTCCAAAGTGGTACATATGCGTACCACAAAATGTATTTCTCCAGGACGTAGTGGCACATAATTCAGGTTGCCTAAAATCGGCCAAATCCAAGAACAAAAAAGGTCGATAACTCAATAGGTATATACTAGTTTATTTGTAGGTTCCGCTATAAAAATTCCATTTATTTTCTTTTTGCAGTATTTAAAATTTAATTAGGAAGTACCCCTATCATAAATTTTAGCCGGCCAATGCAATTGAGAAAAACTAAATCACGGAATTTGTCCGGAAAAAATGACCGTCCGGCAACCCTGTTTAAAAACAGTACAAAAAAATGAAATAATAGTACAAGATGAAGCAATTGGAGTCAACGTGTTAAACATTTTACGACTTTAATAATGCATCGTTCGTGAGAAAAACCATATAGAATTAACGTTTATATACAGATCGTTGGCAAACACAGAGGCGGAGGTGACTCAGCTGCGGGTTGTGGCTGAGAGCAGCCAGCAGCAAATTATTGAATTGTTTGAGCAGCAGGCGCTGCACATACAACAAATTGCTCTTCTCAAACAGGTATTTGAAAATCTCCAATGGGATTTATTCCAATATTTCTATTTTACTAACGTTGGGAGTGGAATAATAATTTACATGATCCCTATGTTTAATTGCTCAACATCTCTGATGCTCTACGTACATCAGTTAGACATTGTGTATTGCACAAAAAAAGTGAAATACTTTCTTTCATTTCACCTTGTCATACCATTATCGGTCCAGCAATACTAACATTTATTTTCAAAATTTACGAAATGATCTAAGCTCCCAAATCACTTCATTGGAACTGTTTATAAACGTGTTGCTGAAGCAATGATCACGCTACGGAATGTTTCAATGAAAATATGCTATATTTCTTAGGCATCGCTTTCAAGATTCAATTTTTAGTTATTCATGTTTTTTTTATGATGTAGTCACTGATGAAAATTTAGTTTTACAGAAGAGGAAGTGTTTCATGTGATTCATTTCTTCGATAGTTCATTATTAATTGATTTTCATGGGTTAAATCAGGTAGTTTCCACATTAATGTAGTACACCAATAATACCTCCTCTTCTCTTTCATATTACTTGACCATTTAAGAAGAGTTTAAAGGAAGCTTCAATGATCTCATGTTTTTGCTCATGTTTCAGAAAGCAGAAGGGAAAGAACGTGAAGAACCACTCACCCATGACGTGAACAGAAGCAGTGAAAACCAGTACACTAAGGACTGTGAGAATGCAGCCATATCGAGCGAGAGAGAACGAGAACTTTTATATCAGGTGCGTTGCAAGGGATACTCAGACCGTTCTTCATTTTCAACTACTATCATTACTTATCAATTAATTTATTATATATTATATGTCATGTTTAGGACCCTGACTGAACCATACTTCTTCCGCGAGAGGAATTTTATGTGTTCAATGTGCACAGCATATTGAGGGTACTTGACGCATTTTTTAGCCTACCAAATTTTAGAGCAGTTATGTTCATTTTATGATAAAATATATAGTTTATGCTTTGATATATAGTGCACCTTTTATATATTATCGCAGATTGAAAATGCGACCGCTGAAAGTGAGTTGTTAAAACAACAACTGGAAAGCCTTCGGTCGTTGCAAGAACTACAATCAGGGGATAATTCCAGGAATGGTAAGAATTGCGCCATTAACATTTCCTGAACTAACTTCACCAATTTGAAATTATTTTGAGTATTAACGTGTTCAAGCTAGTGAACTTCTAACTATAAATATTGAAACATAATTAATTCACGTTTGATTGCAAAGGAACACTGAGTGTATGTTTCAAAACAGGCACAACAGTCATTTGAAAAGACTTAAAATGTTCAAGCCATCGCATCAGCATCTCAATTCAATGTATCGCAATCTATATCTTCACGATATATTGACGTTACTAATTCCTTTAACTTGTATCTCTATTCAACGTATTGTATTATGATCCTGATTTTTGAACAGAGATCAGCGATGGACGTGACAACATCGTGAACATTGAGCTACGTATGCTGGCAGCTCGCCTAAAGCAGTACCAAATGGAACTGTCTTGCGGGCAACACAGGATTCCTTCTTTGACCAGTGAGTGAAATTCATCAATGTCATCCTCGCCTTTTATTCATAATCAGATGGTAAAAGTACGCACATACTCATAGAGTTGCGGCGCTAAAGTGAATTTATTTATTGTTATGTATTAATTAGAAGATCGAGACAGACATTATTTTTCATGTGGTTGGTGGTGTAGACATTTCTCTTGACAGTGGTAATGTACCACCAGTCATTTAATTGCTTTATTGCTAATTGATCTTGATAACTTTTGAAGCCAAACATGTGCACTGATTATGCGGTTTACCTCATTTCAGAATAAACTTTTTATAACCCTTTGATGAGAAAAGAGATCTATATTAATGTAATTGTTCGCGATTCTTGATTGCTCCTCCCGTATTTTTGCAGGAGAACTTTCTGAGGCCGAGAAAACTGAAGAGTCACTGAACATGGAGAAGACTCGTATCCAGGAACGGCTTACTGAGGCTATGAACAGAGCGGGTAATTTCTGCATCAACTAAGTTTGTTTAAAACAATTTTTTAATTGAAACAAGCATATATGGTTTTTTATGTATGTACGGTACGTGCAAGGCTTAAGTACGTATTTTTTTCATGGTCTCGTGTGAATGCTTCAAGAAAAGCTTACAATTTAACCCCAACCAAGTCAATTAAATTTCATTCTGTTGAAATCATTTACAGGTTGGTAGTTGCATAATCACTAACCACCAAATTGTTTCTTGTAAGAAAAACCATTCTGTAATAAAAATATTTTCTAGTATCTAATATATTTGGAAATTACAGCATCGCGGAAGGCCGTGTCAGAGAATCTGAAGCGCAGTATCGCCACCCTGCAGTCTGCTCTTGAGACCGCAACTCAAAGAGACAAGAACACCAGTAGTAACGTAATTCTCGACGACACCATCAGTATAAACGGTGTTGACACTCATAATATTGAGGACAACTATAAGCAAGTGAACAATGTCGATGAAAAAATCTCGAGTAAATTGGAAAAACATGTTGACTCTGAAGCGCTTCTTGAAAAGTCAGCCATCATCATCGAGAAAGCCGTGAGTGTTTGCTTGTCTGTTCTTTCTAATCTAAGTTGTTCGATTTAAAAAATGAAATACTCCTTACTTTTGTGTACGTAATTTTATTTCAAAATGAAAAATTCAGCTTCTTTTCAAATTTAAACTGGTACTAGTTAACAGGAGATACAAACTGGTTGTGGGTAGGCACGAGTCCTATTTAATTGACGTACTTAATAAATTAAGTACAATATTAAGGAATTAATTACTGACTAGATTTGAGGTGGCGCGAGTGAGATAACGAGATTCTGAATAGAGAATTTTAAAATTTCAGGAATTCTCTAGGTTTCCCTGCTAATATATGATAGATTGATGGATAAATAACACGTCATCTGCAGACTGTAGAAAACTATTGGCAGCAGCACTGGCTCATAAGCTAAATGTGGTCTCTGACTGAGTTTGAAGGTACTCGCTATCAACGCCTTCTGTCCCGATCAAAACTTCTGGCTAAATTCCATGACGCATTCAATGACGATGAAAAATCCTTTTCCTAACTTGCATTTACAAAGCATGCACATTCGAAGCACATCCGCCCCAATGTCTCAAAATCTTACGGTCTAGAGTGATGTGCTGCCGTGCCTGAAATAAAAATCCCACGTTAGCAGTTGAGTGGTTAATTTGTTTTTTAAATGCTTTACCGTTTTCGAAACTTTACAGGACCCGTGCAACAATGAGGTGTCCGCGAAGAAGAAAGACGATGAGAAAGAGAAGGAAGCTCATGACAAAATCTGCGACGACAGCTCCACGGTTCACGAGGAAGACTCCGACACAAGCTTCAATAATGATGATGACTCGGAATCTCTGTCAATTGAGTCCACCCTTACTCTAATGAATACATCTGTGAGTTGTTCACTATTCTACGGCGTTTTGGACGCCAAATTCATTTCTAAGCGATCAATGTCAATAGAAATTGATAGAAACTGTAATGTGTGAGATTTTTGGAGGCACTTATTTTCATGTGTTATTGATTCGTTTCCAGCTTGAATATTATTATTCATAGACTATGTTTTCAAGTTCTAATTTATCATATTTATTGCTATGCTTCAAGTGGCTAAACGACATTTTATTTATAGGCTATCTTCTGAAGACATCTAATTCCTAAGGGTAACAGAAAAATGAATAGCTTCAAGCTATGATATATAACTCTAAGCGCTGTGTGTGTGCTGTGTACTTACGGTCATAATTCTTAGTAAATAATTGATTCCTTGTAGGTCACAAGTTTGAATGACCAAAGAGAAGACAGAGCCAAAACTCCCTGCCTGTCCAGCCTTCAACGCCATCTCTGCGAGCTTCAAGGTGCAATACTGTCATAATATATCTCAGATAAACTCATAAGACAACTTTTTTACTCGGAAATTGTGTAATATTCAAAACCAATTTTGTAATACATGTGAACTCTTAATTTTTAAAATAATAGTGTTTTGTCAATCCTAATTCAAGATATTGATATAGAATATATATCAGCTTCTAAGAAAAAGTTTAAGTTGACCTTGAATGAATATCACTACTTGTTGATTACCTCTTGCTGCTTTTGTTATCTTCATTTTGTCACGAATTTTTATAATGTTTTAAGGAGTTTTGTGTCAAGTTTTATTTGTGAAAAAGACTCCTGCCGATACAGTGTTGGGTTGCTATATTATCGAATTTACTGCTAAAACTCATTCAAGAGAGACGTTGCAATTGTAATCAGTAGTTATTATCACAACACTTTCTTGTTAATAATGATATTGTGTTTATTATCATCAGAACAATTCATAAGATCTCCCAGCTCTCTCATTCCCAGGAATGTTAATTACCTAAGCTCTGCAAAATAATTTTTAGTGTTGGGCAGTGTTCCGCTGATTTCTATTCTGTGTAGTAGTTTTAGTCCCAAGAAAAACGTCCCAATCGTAAAAATGATGCATATTCATAAGCATAAACATGTTATTCAATTAAGTTGAAAATAAGAAGGTAATCCTTCAAATAATTTATCCTTTAAAAAAATCTTGTGCCTAGTGGTACAAAAAGCGCAGTCACCGATGAAAAAAATATAACTCAGTACTCACTGCAGTGAGTGACAGAGAACGCATTCTCTCGTCGACGAAAACGTGAGGTCACGGACGGACGGACAGACAGACAGACGGACATGGCGAGCACAATGGTGCATTTTTTCCATAAATAAAAAAATGTGCTAAAAAGACGCACAGCTGATGATAACGACCATTGTATTGTTATAGAGGAGCGGATGAACAAGTGCCGGGAGGAGGTAACTGAGGACCGTGAGCTGACGGCGCTGAGGGAGCAGCTGCACACCGCCACCGCTGCTGCCGCCTCCGCTGCCCAGCGCACCCTCAAGATCAGGGAATCCCTCGTGGTGCGTGCTTACGGCCCTCACTTGTACTTTCGTTTGCTCATGGTATCTATATTTTTCCGCTTTTTCACTGTTGTCACTACTAACCAGCGTCCCTCGTTGAGCTCGAAAAGTCTCGATTTGTCATCAGTTTGAAAGTAAACATTACTCTTTTGTTGCTGTATGTTGACGCAGTTCTTGGGGTTTGATATACTCTCGTGATTGAACGCTCAGTGATGTTAAATGCCCTCATACCACGGAATAAATTTGATATTTAATTCCTTGTTGGGTTATGTGTTTCAGAAATTTAATATAAATTAAATTCATTGTGTTTTGGGTTTCAGGCTGCCGAGACGTACGCGCAGAGCCGCTCAGAAGTGGTGACAGAGCTGCAGCAGAGCACAGCTCGTCTCAGCGCTGTAGGCACCGTCATCAAGAAGCAGCTCGAGCAGCTCAACGCTCAGCTTCTCGAGCAGCGCCAGCTTCTGTCCCAAGAAAGGATGAACGGCCTCAACATGCACGGTGAGTCGAGTGCGCTTTACCTGGATCTAGGCCTATTCTACTACCCTGTCTTTCGAGTCTATCTTGCCTCTGTAAGTGTCGAATGCGAGACATCTTGTTCTTTGCGTGAAAAAAGTGTCAATCACTGAGCTAATGTGGAAAAAGTGTTGCTTCGACTTGTGCCAGAGGTGAGTAGCATGACTCCACTTGTTTGAAATGCAATTTTCGGTATCTCGGTCAATAAACCTAATTTTTAGCTCTTTGAGTAAGAAATAAAAGACCACTAGTCAATAGGGTGAGTTGAAAATGCGGATAGATTGTCTATGTAAACATTGAAAGGTTTCGATAAACTTTCTTGGCCTTGAAGGCTGAGGAACACTCGGTTCAAGTGTACAGCTAAACAATTCTTCTACAAATCTTTGTTTAGTTTTTTCTCTATAATTGTGTTACACTGAAATCATCGTGTATGTTGGGAGTTGTCATAGTTTGTTGTGTAAATATTTGTATCTTGGAGGAAGACTAGACGCTTTTCATGATTATTTAGCTAGTAAAGATGCTGCCATCTTTTAATTAGGAAACAAAGATAGATTTCTATTTTTTTATTAATTTATGTAACTATGACCTGAAAGCCACGCTTGTTTCCAAATATTTTCAATGCAAATTAGAGAAGAATCACGAGTTTAATTTTTAATTTTAGTATTCCATGCATAGAACGGCGATGATTTCCTATTAGGGGTTTCTATATCTGAATGCCAATAAGGGGAGAATTATAATTCTAATTTTTGCTTTCCATTCACAGAACGGCTGGTAGAGGCAGAGGCCCTCGCCAAGAAAGGCTTGGAACAGACCGAAGCTTTAAACAAGCAGCTGGAGCTGATGAAGTCACAGAGCGTACAAGCCTCTACGCATTCTCTCAGCGCAGCACCAATCATTTCTCTATCAGAGGCTCCTTCTTTGTCTACTGAACCAATTACCTCTAATGCGGATGCTGCTAGTTCTGCCACGGATGTTGATAGCCTTATAACGATTTCCGGCACCACACCGGTGGATGCCGATATCTCTGCTGCGGCTGCTGATATCTCGGCTACGGATGTCGGCGTCTCTGTTACGGATGTCGGTGTCTCTGTTACGGATGCAGTTATCCCTGCTATGGATGCCGGTATCTCTGTTACGGATTCTGATATTTCAGCAACGGACGCCGGCATTCCTACTGCAAGTGCCGTCATATCTGATACTGATGCCAATGTCAGTGCGAGAGATGCCCTCAGCTCTGACGCGGACACTTCTGACAATACGCCCGTAACTGGCGAGGATAGTGAAGCAGTGGACGCTTACAAAACGCTCCTGCCGAGTCCTATCGATCCCCCTATGGTGGGAATTTTAGAAGTAAGTTTTAGCGTTCGTTTTTATTTGAGTTTTTTGTACAAATTTATAATCGCTGAGGTTTTCTTCACGTCCTTATTTCTTAATCTGAAACTTCAGTAAGTGTAGCATTCATCCAAATAACTGCATCCTTTGAATTCACAACACACGTCATTTTCGTTGCTGGATCCCCAAAAACATGTTTTTGAGCATACTTTAGCTGTTATCCCCCCCAGGCATATAATACACAAAATACGTAGTTATTTAAATTTAATTACCTACAATGTTTTTCCCGTCGTTGCAGGTCATTGGGGGCCAAGTGGCCACTGGCCCCTTAGTGGCCTCTGGCCCCTTAGTGGCCTCTGGCCCCTTAGTGGCCACTGGATCTAAAGTGGCTGCGAGCCCCGCGACATTGGCCGCTGAAGGCGAGCAGGAGTCTATGCAGCGTCAGCTCCGTCAGATACAAATGGAGTGCGAGGAATTACGGCGGCGACTCAGCGAGAACCAGGAAGAATATTACATGCTTTCCATACAGAACAAAACTGTAAGGGTCATCTGAATATAATGAATACCGGTAGTGGTTTGTTATAGCTTACTAATCGTAGATTGTCAGGACATTTTTCCAGGACAATTATCATTTATAAGTATTAAAATCACTTGGCTGCTTAAGTCGCAAATTTACCAGGAATTTAAAAGTAAAGTAAATAGACAAAAAGTTAACCATTTCTTATAAGAGAAAACGTTTCCGAGTCCAGCTCCATCGTCAGTTCAAAACCTAGAACACAGGTAAAAACAATTAGTAACCTAAAATTCACATTCAAACAATTCACCTAAACTTGAGGACATTAGAACTAAAATCGAAGATAACAGAAATAAAAATGAGATGATAGTACATGTAGAGAAAGTACTATCTATTTACAATTTGTAGAGGATAGGAACTGAATGCAGCATTTATCTTGAAAAGCCTTACAGGGAAAATTTTAATTTCTTATATTTTTCGTTGATCCTAACTGGTCTCTGTTTATTTATAATCAAAATCCACTTCTTATGATCATTTTAATTCTTGACGTGATCATAAATTTAATGTGAACTTATCGCAGATTGGTGAGCTTAAAAGGCTGATAAGGTTTGCGACAGGATTTAATGGATTATTGTTTTTACAGGCGTTCGCCATGAGCATCGTGCCGCTATTTGTTCTGCTGGTGGCATTCGTAGCTGCCTTCCACGAGTACCTGGCGTATATCACCGGCACCAAAGATTACTAGACCTCCTCTTGATGTGCAAGAAATCTCGGCAGGAATGTCAACTTCTGCAGAAACTGCAGGGCGTGGAAAGTCTTTAGCGAAAACTGGATGACTTGGAAAGTCTTTTGCAAGAACTGCAGGGCTTGGAAAGTCTTTTGCAAGAACTGCAGGGCTTTGAAAGTCTTTAGCGAAAACTGGATGACTTGGAAAGTCTTTTGCAAGAACTGCAGGGCTTGGAAAGTTTTTAGCGAGACTGGATGACTTGGAAGGTCTTTTGCAAGAACTGCAGGGCTTGGAAAGTTTTTAGCGAAGACTGGATGACTTGGAAGGTCTTTTGCAAGAACTGCAGGGCTTGGAAAGTCTTTAGCGAGACTGGATGACTTGGAAGGTCTTCTGCAGAAACTGCAGGGCGTGGAAAGTTTTTAGCGAAGACTGCAGGGCTTGGAAAGTCTTTTGCAAGAACTGCAGAGCTCGGATCTTCCTGAATTTGATAAATTCATACTAGTACGTGCTTCAACAAATGATTATTAAAGTCTCAATCATACTGATGCTTAATTTGTAGGCTTCTTGATCAAATGTAAACTAGTGCACTTATCTGTAGATATTCAATTATTCTAGTTAGGCTGACGTAAAATATTTGAATTTTCATTACGAAATTGGACTTGGTGAAGAAGTAACTTGGACAAAGTTGGCTGGTTTGCTGAATATCTGAGCAATAACACTCGTTTATTGTTCGATGCATGAGCAATTCACTGCTGGAATATTTTACTAAGTTAAATAAAGACCACAATCTGTGCAAATATTTAGAATATAGTCTTGCTTTTTTCCGCTGGGAATATTTATAAAATGTGAATTTTGATGACCAACTATGAGTCGTGATGAATACAGAACGTATTTGGACTTGGTGAAATAAAACGATAATGGAAAAGACTTACAGTACTTACTGTATGATTATTCGGTGTTTAAACATTTCATCGGCCATTTATTCCGGAGACCAGTGAAAAAAAAGCTTCACTTTAGTTTCTCTCTACATTTTTTGCTGAATTTTTATTTTACTCAATGCTTCATACAAAAGAACGAGTCAGTATAAGTGGTTGATTGCGTGTTTTTTCAAGTCTGCTGCGAACTATTCTATCATTTGAAAATTATTCTGTGACCACCTTACATTTCGTGTAAAAGTGTAAAAAACGCTTATATCTTCTTGTCATATCCTCCGTTGTTTTGCTGTTAATCGACTTGTAGTTTAGGTGTTTAGATAATAGCCATCTAGAGTTTAATATCTTTGTTGATTTTATCCAAAATATCGTTAGTGTCTCTTCTTTGGCCATAAAAAAATTCTGACTGGCAGAGTATTTATCTCGGGAATTGACCTCGCATTGAATATTTTGTGTAAATAGTGTAATCTCTTGTTATGTTAATATTTACTTCTAATTACCATTCTTTTCTTTTTTTTGTGCCAAAATTTTCCAACTTTGAGTCACATGAGCCTCGGTATTTTTAGCGCATTTTCTCATTTATGGGAAAAATGCACTATTGTGCTTTCCATGTCTGTCTGTCTGTCCGTCCGTCCGTGACTTCACGTTTTCGTCGACGAGAAAATGCGCTCTCTGTCACTCACTGCAGTGAGTGACAGTAGTTATATTTTTTTACCTATTGCCATCCAAGTTCTGATTTCACATTGGCCAGGACATACATAATCTCACATGCAACAATGATATTGATTGATTTGTGGTGCCTCGGATTCCTGTCTTTAGTGTGTGAAATTTGGTTATTTTGTTTCGGGTATTTTGAAATTTTTCTTTTGGGTCTCTCTACCGATTATTTATTTGAATGGCCGTTTAAGACCCTTTGTACAATGATGCTTGAAAGATTATTTTCCTGTACATTCGTTTAACTTAGCAGGAGCTTTTTTGTTTTTGTTGTATGTTTAGCATTACTGATTAATGTACATAAACGTAATCAAAGCAAAAAATAAACTTCTTTATTTCACTCGTTTCCTTGTGAAGTTGTAAGTTATTATGTTTTCAGTTCCTTTGTTTGGATGTGAAAATTGCATGTGCATTTTAAATTGTAAAAAAATTTTTAAAGATAACTACAAGTCAAAAGACCAAAACGTGTCAAGAAACCAGTGCTGCTTTTTCATAGACACATTATTTGGTATAAAGTCTCTACCACTTCTTTTTCCTTAATACGGAAGAAATTCAAACTAATATTTCATTCTCCACTCAGAAAAATTTGTCCGCTTGGTATTGCTAATCTAAATTCCTTCTCAAAATTAATTGGGTAGTAAATTATTAAACTCAATCTAAACCTTATAACCATCATTTAAACCATCACTGAAACTCGACCGAATACTGTGCAATCGTCCGATGATTGCCTTACAATGTGAACAAAACCTCTTATGATGCCATATTTAGTTTTGACAAAGAAGCTCACAGAATTTATCGTGGATTTATTTAAATCTTTGCTTCTGATGTGGTCATGTTTTTAAATATTAATGTAATTTCTATCTTGGGATCATAGAATAGCTTCACGTGTCATGTGAATTTCAATCCCCGAATACACAAGAATTCCAGTCCAACAGCCTCCCTGATAGCATCGTTGACGCTCCGAGTATGAACGCCTTCAAAAACAGACTAGACGAAGCTATGCAGGAGCATATGTTCAGTCTTAAAATGCCTAGCAAATTACACGCTGTTACGGCCGCGATGTACTGTGCGAACGACCGTTTATACTTGTACGACTGTGCCTTTATTCCTATTCATCTCTACGTTTTTTATTCAGCAATCAGTCTCTATGATATGCTAACAATGCTTTATATCTGCCTTCTCCTACGCCCTGGACATTTATGACATTACGTCATTTGTTGATGGTGATTTTTACGTCATTTGTTGACGATGAATGTTTTCTGAACTTTAGTGCGAGAAAACTTGCTCTAAAGCAGACGTGATGTCTTTGGCAACTATTCAATACTTGAAAAAACGGTATTATGATTCCAAAAAAAATGTGCCCATTGCAAGCGTTCGAACTAAATTGGCGATCAATGTTCAAATTAAGTTTAACCGCATCTATTTTCCAACACGCCGCATTGTTTCTGTGTGTGACATTGCTTAAATTATATTTCTATCAGATAGATTTGATCTCGAAATTCTTTTTCTACGTCAGTATAACGGCATATAATGGTGATAACCATCCTTTTGATGCCTCTAACCTGCACAGTTTCCCCTGAACGACGGGCTAGCAATTGATGTAAAAGCATAATTGTAATAAGTGATGAAACCTGCTGGGCACATTGTGCGATTTGAATTAAATTGTAAAGGGAAAGGCAAAGCAGCTTACTGTGGGGCTTGTAGGGGTTCGAGAAGTAATTACTTTATATACAATTACTTTATTTTATTTTTATGTTGCCTCATACATGGCTCCTCGTGAAGAATCTAAAATATAATCTGTAATTTCGTTGTGAGGTTCATCATACACTTCACTGTAAATATATATGTGTTTTACGACTGGAAACGTAATTGGAATTTGTTATTTATTTTTTCAAATTGGTTATTTAGTTATTGAGTGCATTGCTAAAGTAATGAATGATGCCTGAGTAACCTTGTGTGACAGAAACGTTTAATAAAGTGCACTCTGAACATGTAACGCGGTAGTACCCATTAAGCTCTTTGTATGTACACATTGTCCGTTGAATTAATTATAAAGACCACATTAACAATTAGCTTCCATTCGAAGCTCACTAGTAGGGAAATCTATCTAACAGACGTTCACGATACTCGTTTACTTCTAGTACAGACTCGACTATCTGAAGAGTGAGTAAAGTTTCTTTCCGTTGAAAACACAACGGAAAAGGTCGTAAAACAATCTTAACAAATGTTTAAGCGATTGGAAAATTCGTGGATGTAATCAGTTTCATGACCGCCTGAAAACTTGAATTCTAATTTACATCTTGCATTATGAAACGTGTCTCTGTTCTATGTCGATCTAAGAGATGTACTTCGAATAGACGTTTTGAAAACGAGTTCGTTCTACTTGTCAGTAACATGCAGGCGGCATCTATTGACTTCTTGCATTGAGCTTCACTTTATCGTATCTAATATGATGAAGATACACAAGTAGCCTATGACCTCAAGTCTAGATCAAGACAACTAACTTTTTCGTCTGTGAATAACTCACAAAGTGCTCCTGAGGGTTTACAGCACATGCATTCATTACGGTTATCACCATAGCTAAACCTGGCTTAGCGTCGACGCGATTAAATGTTGCGTGCTACAGCAAGTCATCTGCACTTGGCCACCTATTGTAATTGTATCGGCATTTTCTGTGCGTTAAATTGATGGCTTTATAGTGTGTCAGACGCACGAGTTTGTAATTATGTACCTTAAATAACATCTGGATTGTCGTAATATCTATTCACAAGCGTCCTTCTCAACGCCCCAGTTGTGGGTCGTAGTTCACTTTCGTAGGATTACGGATTGAGTCTGAATTTAAGATATCCATAATGGTTTAAATAAGATTAAAAGCTAAGCAACTTCAAGCATGTGAGTGAAAGTATAGTGTGGTTCAGACCCATACCACAGTCAGGAAATATAATTGTCTTGTATAGAGCACTGTCCCAGTTTTCTATTCTGCAACTGTGAATGAATGTTAACTATAATTGTTAGATCCATAAAGGTTTAAATAAGATTAAAAGCTAAGCAACTTCAAGCATGTGAGTCAAAGTATAGTGGTGGTTCAGACCCATACCACAGTCAGGAAATATAATTTTCTTGTATAGAGCACTGTCCCAGTTTTCTATTCTGCAACAGTGAATGAATGTCAACTATAATTGTTAGATCCATAAAGGTTTAAATAAGGTTAAAAGCTAAGAAACTTCAAGCATGTGGTTCAAAGTATGTTTCTTAGGTGGACTATGCCCACCCGTATTTTACTTTTAATTACTAATCAGCTAATGGTTTCATATAGTCAAACACGATACATGATGTTATACATCAACTGTAGGTGAAGGCCCGAGCCTTATTCATCGTGTCTCCAGACATACCACAGGCTGTTCTCCTGTGGACTCATCAAGTGTTCATGACATACGCAGTAATATTTCTTACGACTACCAGATATGGCGCTTTTACTACTGGTGTTTTCGGCACTGCCAAAAAAATAGTACTGTGGTTGTATTATTACAAAATTATACTATGACTACTCATACGTGCAGGACGTGACTACGCACTTCTCGGATATAAAATATTTTTGAGGAATTTGATCTTCGTTTTATATATATTTTTTATCAAAAAACTGATCAAATACATTGGCATGTGAGTCTGTGAGATAAGGACTATGACGAGCAGTGGACTGTCAGTTTTTCGTACAAGTCGTCTTACGTTCACCCATGAGGACTGATTTTCCTTTCCATTAATGATGAAATTTATTCCTGCCTTCATCGTATAATTAATATATCGTTTGGTAAAGTCAAGAGATAAATGTTCAAGTGAGTTCTCTTTAATATTTTTAGCTACTATTTGCGACATGCCGTTACTTCACGAAACTTTTAGTTTCCGACCGAAATTTTCGCGTCGAATGTTGGATTTGCGAATGGAATATCGCACGGAAACTTTCAATTTTCCACTTCTTCAACGCTGCGTCACCATTTCAACCAAAAAATTTTAGAATAAATCGATGAGGTAAAAAAAATTATTATGTCAATTATTTTTAGCGACAGAAGCTTGCGTGCGCAAGTGGGTAAATCAACGTGACTCTTCGATCACTTTTCTATGGCAATTTAGTATTCTATCGAATTATCTGCTGTCAAGTAGGACCCAGTTTTTCATTCCCAAAAATATACTCTCTTCTAATGTGAACTCGTATTTATCCCTTAAAATAGAAGTTTCCTGATTAAACATACTTGATTGTTTTTTTTGTGTATATCTATGTGCGTGTTTTTTTTTATTTGTTTGATAATTATTAGATGTATATGGTGTATAGTGTATGACTATCGTATCTGGATATTTCCTGAATGATAATCATTAGACCTCGCAATACAAGATGGAAGGAGGTGAGATCAATAGTTCGTGTAAATTTTATTCATAAATAGAAAGCTCCAGTTTAACGAAAACTCGAAAAATTTAAAAGTGAGGGTTGAATGAAAGTTTCGTGCTAAACTTTAGTTCTTTTAAGCGCATTTTCTCATTTATGAAAAAAATGCACTATTGTGCTCGCCATGTCCGTCTGTCTGTCCGTGACCTCAAGTTTTCGTCGACGGAAAAATGCGCTCTCTGTCATTCACTGCAGTGAGTACTGAGTTATATTTTTTAAATACTTTGCTTCAGTAACTGGTCTCGGGATTGCAAATTACGGAATTCTCGATTCTCAAAAATTAGTTTCTATTGGGAAACATCTTTTTAGCTATAATTTTGTAGCAATAAACAACAATTCTGTTGTACAAAGAGTTTCTTCAAGTGCTTAAAAAAAATTCTCACAGATACGGTAGACAGGATACCTCGTGTATATAAGTCGCGTTGAACTGTGACGCTCTCTCGTCGAATCGAGTCATCTGTGCCATATTTTTGACAATACTTGAAGATAGAGCAAGCAACATGCCAGTTATAAACCACCTTAGAGTTTTCGAATACTTGGTTCCTCTACTGGAGCAGATGAGACCTCCAAATTATATATGCAGCACCGTGGACAACTTCATCGTGTTTATGCACTACAGGTGGAGTGCTCTGATTTTAACAGCATTTATAATGCTGTCGTTGACGGGATGTTTCGGCGAGACGGCAATATGTGTCAGCAAGTTCGACCGCAGTGCCATCTCTCCTGAGAAACAGGAAGTCTGCTTAACGTACCCGTACTCAATGCAACTCGATTCCGAAGGAAATGAAGTTCGTCACTACGCCTTGTTTTACAAGTGGATGCCATATGCATTTGGACTCGTCTTGACATTCTTTATTGCACTGCAGTTTCTCGTTCGGAAAATCGACGATTCTAAGGTCAATAGATTTCTTTCGAGCGTCGCTTCTTCTGGCAGCTGCCTAGAAAGGTACGAAATCTGCGAACGTTACTTCTTCGAGAACATCGGACGGCACATTCACTTGACTGCCTGTCGAACCAACGTACTGCTGGTGTGCATCGCGACGAATGTCGTCGTTTTCTTTGTTTTGAATTTAACAATCGGAGGATTTTATATGTATTTGCCTGTAAATTTGTTCATCGTCCGTGAGATGAGAAACTTCAGCGATCCTATCACTGCCACGTTTCCTCCCTTCGTTGAGTGCGAGCTGAGTCCTGGAATGCAGCTATGGTTGGACCGAACAGAAACAATTGGCTGTTATTTGCCATACATGGAGCTTTACGCTATGATGATCGTCACTTTCTGGCTGTGGCAGATGATGCTCGCTGTGTTATCCATGGGGGCTTTATTAGCAGATCAGCTGCCCAAATTGTTCCCAAAGTACGAAGAAAATCTTCTAGGCGTAGCTGGCAGGTCGACGGCCTCCATACAGCTCATTGTGCAAAGGACGTCCACAGGAGATCTAATCCTTCTGAAGAAGGTGCAACCTCTGCTCACCATGACGGACTTCCTTAGAATCATGGAAACCATTGCTGGATATCTTAGAAACTTTGAAGGCGAATGATTGTTATTGTTTGTAGAATCTGATATCGTTTAGATCTTACTGCAAATATCTCTTTTTCGTTTTAGATTTCGACGAATTATCCTGAAAGTTTAATAAATATTTAGTAAGACTACTCAATCAACTCAGCCGTAACAATGTTCGGCACATTTAATTTTATTTCAAATCAATTCTTGTGTTTGGAATCCAATCTTTTTTCAAGATGTACGAGCGCACTTCAGCGTGCAAGTTCTCAGGCACATACAGTAGGTAACGAACTATGTTTAGTAGTACTAGTAAATAATTATTTTGTGCCTAGTACATCATATTATTAACCTCGTACGTTATGGGGATGATGTACGCTCTTTCGTTATCATCACTATCGGACAAGTACGTGTATTGCAGTTTTTACGCTGTTCACCTGCTATGTTATCTGTCTCTGATTGATCAAGTAAGCTCGGTTCGATGAGTCTTCGTCCTATATAATGGCCGAGTCATTTATCTTAACGAGGACTTTAAAATGCAAGTCACAACTGTCTCGTGCTGGGATCGTTGCACTAATAAAATTATTATAGAACGCAGACTATGTTAGTGTCGGAATCTTCAACTTTGTACCATTATTTAATAATATTCATAATATATTTCTTAAGTCGTTGAGCTTCTTTATTGTCATGCTACCAAGATTTTGCTTCCGTTGTATTAGCCTTTTTTATTGTCTACCTGTCTTTCTGTGCGGTGTGCAAACTGCCTTGTTCATTTGTATCATGTTATGCTTTTACTTCACCGCATTACAATAGATTATAATGACATGTTTCCGCGATTTAGCTCAATAGATGCATGCAGTGTAGCAGCGATTTCCTATGTGACTGATTAAGTGAAGCTGTTTTTAATTGCATCTTGTCGGAGGGATATTCCATGTCTAGAAAAACTAGCGGCATATGAGTTTACTTCAGTTTGTCTCAAAGATAAGAGTCTAGACTGTCGTTTGTTTTCACAGTTCATTGCTCTGAAGAGGGTCTAGCGATGATGATCAAAACAGAAGGTTATTTTCTATTATTAGCATTAGTTTTATCGCTCTAAATTAACTTATCTCTTGATAATTGAAATAATTTTGAAATTAAAATTCATTTTTAGCGTATTTTCTCATTTATGGAAAAAATTCACTTTTGTGTTCGCCATGTCCGTCTGTCCGTCCGTCCGTCCGTGACTTCAAGTTTTCGTCGACGAGAAAATGCGCTCTCTGTCACTCACTGCAGTGAGTACTGAGTTATATTTTTATATTTATCGATGATTTTAGAATACAGTACATTCAACAACAATTTAAAAGTTTTAAAACGACTTAAAATTATGTTATCTTGCACACAAATATTTTACGCCTAAATAACTGCTTGTGAATTTTATTCTAAATCACGATGATCTTATTAAGGCCGTTGATTTCTTCAATTGAAAATTAAGGGTGTGAGCGTCAGGATTTCCTGTCGGTGAATGGTTAAGTTGAAAAGGTGACAATACAATATACTGTTAAAATATACAATATATATATAATACAATCCATATACAACAATAATACAATACATATAATACAATACACTGTCAAGTGTATTGTATTAGGCGACCCCATGTAGATTCCCTGCCAAGATTTGAGGAATCGTGGCCTGGATTCCTTGCGATTTGATATTGTCTTTTACATTTAGAGAGGGGAATTTTCTGCTTGGTTTACAAGTATTACATTATTAAGCTAACTTATTCATCTTAATAAAAATTTTTCACTCTCGGATCGTTGTAAAAAGACAAAAAATTTTTATTATTTTCTTTTTATTGTTGATACTGAACCATGGATTTGCAAGCAAGATAGTAAATGAATCAATGGCGAGCATGTCGTGTAGTGACTTGATGGTTTTTCTTATCAGCAAAGATATTTTCAAGGGCCATAATGTTTTTTTCCTCGTCTAGCTTCAGTGCGATGGATGTTTACCAAGTAAAACCGACCTTGATCTTCCTGATCGACTTTAAGTACGCCATCAAAACATTGTCCTAAAGCTGTAAAATTGCAGTAGTTTGTCGTAATTTACCATGGTTATAGCGAGCATTTAGATTTGAACACTTTTTATGGGTAAATGATGTGATTTGTGTTATCAGTATACTGTTCTTTTCGATTAGTGTTTAATTTATTTCGACTTCTTTTCATGATCATGCAGGCATTTTATTATTAATATTTTTTGTTCCTATGACTGTTTCCAGCAGTCCGCGCAATCTTGTCATCTATTTTGTTGAACATCATGCAGTTTTATTTAATCAAAACTAAAAGCTTTCTCATTTGTTAATTTCAAAATCCTAAATGAAATTCCAAATTCAACGTTCACAAAAAATATCAAACGTTTATCTATGGACTTGCCCCATGACTCGTTAAAACTGACGTGGCCTCGAGTTTTGGCACGTAGGAGCGCCTCTCAAAACGGCCAACTGTACCGTGTCCGCGCGTGTCGTAATTTATTCAAGAGGCAGGCCAGCGCCAGACAGGCAGTCAGTTGCGCCTCAGCTCTGAGAGAGGTGGGATGACGTTTAGTGTTTTTGTGTCTAGCTTTCGGTGAGGCTATGTGTGCTTCAAAACTGTAATGTTATGATAGCTATAATTCAGCTGTTTCGCATTTCCATGCATATACTAAATTGGAGTAATTTCGGTGAGTTATAAATTAGAATTTCAAAGAAGCTCTTTGTCTTGCGTCACGTAACGGTGTATTGAATTGAAAGGACATAAGTTTAAGTTTACCGTTTTATGACCAACATTGCATTCCAATACGACTGTAATGATGGAAATCCATTTTAATTCCTAAACAGGTTATGGAGTTTGAGATTTAGCCAAACGTAGTTCTTTAGTATTAGTTAATAACCCGAACAATTCAAATAAGCGACTAATTTATGATCAATTCGGGCCATCTCCTGAGTCTCCTCTGACGAAAATCATATTGTCAAACGGTACTTCGCCGTCGTTGACTGAACTCCGAAGCATTCAAGTCCAAGTGCTTATCAAATTTAAATTTAAATACGCTGCCGAAGCAGCCGAACTAATATTTATCACGAATACAGTTTTGTATGCAACGAAATAAATAATCTACAGTTTTTGGAGTTTGTAGAAAAAATCACAATGACTCTAATAAAGAAGAAATTCGAATTCCAAGGAATGATGGCACCAACATTCGCACCCTTTAATGAGGATGGGTGAGTAATGTCGAACTTATTTGTCTACTGATAACGAATGAAATTAAACAATCAGTGTAAACATAGATATGGTTCAATTTTTATGAACAGGGCTTGATTGAGCATAACCGAAAACTTATTATTATGCGATGATTTTTTTTAATTGTAAAAATTAGATCTGGATCGATGCCAAAGCTAAGATAGACCACAGTTAAAAACTAGGTTCATGGGAAACGTCATATTCATGGTAATCTGATTAATAATTATTCATTTATTATTCGTAGTGACCATACATTAACTTTGCTGTACAGATCGCTGAACACGTCTCTCATCAGCCACTACGCACAGCTACTCCATGATGGAGGCGTAAAAGGAGTCTTTGGTGAGTATCGTTTTTATTTTAGGCGTTTGGTTTGGTTCATTAATTCAAATCTCTTTTAAATTGCTATCATTTTTTAACTCCTCTTTTTATATTATTGGTATTAGATATTGTGGATTGTTATTGAATAAATGAAAATAAAATACTATAATTTCCTACTTGCTACAGCCATATTATGTTATTTAATTGCAATTTTTTTTAATTTTTACATAGAAATATAGAAGCTTTTTGTTTTATTATATTTTTAAACGGGCAGCTGCTGGCTTTTCACTGGGAGTATTATTCGTCATTTCAATTTTCATCATGCAGCTATAGAGGCCCGTCGAAATAATAATTCACTATAACTTTCCTAATTTTTTTTTTATGGACAGTGAACGGTTGTCTTGGCGAAGGCTACTCCATGACGTCAGACGAGCGCATGGAGGTAGCCGAAGCCTGGGCTAAATGTTCGGACATGGTCGGCTGCATCGTCGTGCAAGTGGGGGGTGCGAGCATCAAGGATGCGCAAATATTGGTGAGCTGCTCTTCATTTTAGCCAGGAAGAATCAACCGAATTAAGCTTACATTTGAGATATTTATTTCCTAATATTTACGTTAAATTTGATTATTGTAACCCGTTAGCTGACAACTGCGATGGAGTACTAGCGAATAAAGTGTTATTCATACGAACTTACAAAGTTTCAGCAGCAAGAGATAACGGACGGATCATTACCGTAACGATTATACTCTTTAAAAAGGGTAAAAAGAAACAAATATATACGTCATTTTGGGCAAGAATAACCTCAAAGATTCTGTTCCCATATGCATAGATTATAATCGCCTAGCAACTAACACATTTTAATTCAAGTTAAACAACAATGAGAATTGCATCTTTGTCGCGCAGGCACGTCACGCGGAGTCCCTCGGAGTGTCAGGGATCGCCCTGCTGCCGCCGGTCTACGACAGACCTGCTACGGTGGCGCAGCTCGTCGACTACTGTCGTGACGTGGCCTCTGCTGCTCCAAACACCCCCTTCCTTTATTACCATTATCCCCTCAAGACTTCAGTTAATTGTGCGTATCGTACAAGAATAAATCTTTGGAAGGTTCATGTATGATGGTTGATTTACTTGTGCTATAGATATTTTTAGTTATGAATTAGAACTTTATTGGTATACACCGAATCCAAATTTCCAACTACATCTTGTTTCAAGCAAGACTCGGCTTCTTTACGATATTTAATAGAACGATTAAATACAAAAGAAACATTTATTCAAAAATCAAATTTATCTTCATACCAGTACCCATGGACGAGTTCCTAGAGGTTGGGGCAGCCTCAATCCCCACGCTGGTGGGTATGAAATTCACAAGCCTTGACGTCGAAGGGGAGGGCAAGCGATGCCAGTTCGCTGTCAACGGTGTCATGAACATCTTGCCGGGCTTCGATGAGGTAGTCGACGTTGCGATGCTTGACTAAAAGTCATAACTTCTGTACACCAGATCTGATCAAAAATAGTCGACGTTGCGATTCTTGACTAAAACTTATAACTTCAGTGCACCAGATCTGATCAAAAATAGTCGACGTTGCGATGCTTAACTAAAACTCATAACTTCAGTGCACCAAATCTGATCAAAAATAGTCGACGTTGCGATGCTTAACTAAAGCTCCTAACTTCAGTGCACCAAATCTGATCAAAAATAGTCGACGTTGCGATGCTTAACTAAAACTCATAACTTCAGTACACCAAATCTGATCAAAAATAGTCGACGTTGCGATGCTTAACTAAAAGTCATAGCTTCAGTACACCGGATCTGATCAAAAACAGTCGACATTGCGATGCTTAACTAAAACTCATAACTTCAGTGCACTATATCTGATCGAAAATAGTCGACGTTGCGATGCTTAACTAAAACTCATAACTTCTGCACACTAGATCTGACCAAAAATTTACTTCTGATACGAGAAATAGTTTTCAAAACATTAATTAATAACAAAAAGTTAATTGTGATCCTATTACGCAGAAACCTCCGTAACGCAGAATACAATGTGTAGTTAGTTAAGATTCAAGTAAACGGAATATGTATAATAAACTATATATAAATTCTAAATAATTATATTTCGGAATGGAAATAAGCAATATTGAGATGTTTACACTATGTTTTGTGGGCGCTGTATGATTACACGAAAAGGCATTTTAATTTTTACCTCCAGTTTTACCATCCACTCGCCGAAACAGTAGAAAAACGTTCATTTTTTGCGGCATGTTTGTTCAGCGCTCGCTTTATCTACGATTTATGACCTTTTACTTTGCTAGCACTCATCATTTTATTTATAAGTTCACACTATTTAAATTTACTCACTTATCTGCCCCAAATCACATTTATTTGACAGTCGCTAATATTTCAGACTCTCACAACAGCTAGGAAGTTAAATTTCTCCGGCGCTATCAACGGAGTATTCAACTTCATGCCGTTGGAGGCCGGGAGGTTATTTTGCCTGGCAGGACTGCCTGCCGACAGCGACTGTTGCATACCAAAAGAAAAGCGAGACGGACTCATCGAGTGCCTGCAAGCGAGGATCAACGTTCCTTGGAAGATTGTTATCGACACTTGTGAGTTTGGAAGTTGCCAAATTATGAGTAGGAAATACTGCAACATTAGAATTCATTAATACAGGAGCCGTGGCATAATTTTAGTTTTAAATTGTTTGCTGCCGATAAAAATTCAATTATTTTTTCTCAACAGACGCTCAACCTGTTCTTTTAGTAACGTTTAATTGAAAATATTGCTTTCTATGCTCAAATTTAAGTTTCCAATGTACTGATTAAATTCCTTTATTCTTTTCGCGAATAGGTGGCCACTTCTCTGTCTCCGGCGCAAAGCACGTGATGACGCAACTGACCGGCATCAACGTAGGGCCCGCGCGACGGCCTCAGGTTCCTCTCACCACCGACCAGGCTAAAGCCATTGCAGAAGGCATCCAGAAACTCGGGTTTGTTTGCTGCAAAGAACGGTGCCGCAAAACTTCCGAAACTGTCATAAAGTGTTAACCCTGTCGAAAATCATGATGGGGCGGAGAAAGTTAGGTGGATGAAAAATTATATTTTCGAAGAAAGTGTGTTAATTGTTTAGAATGATAGGAAAGCGCCAGCTGTGATGTGAAAGATGATTACCTTGTTTATGCAAGGAATGATGCAATGTTAAATAGGAAATAATGTTTCTACCCAATAAAGAAATGAAATTGGGCGTATAAGTGTATAAGACATTAATGGGTTATATGTAAACTATTCCCTAGGTCGAGAATCGCTTTGTTAATAACACCGAGTATAGCCGCAACAAAGCGATGGATGTTCGTCAAAAGATGTATTATTGAAACAACTTGGTACGTTTTCATCAATATATTGATAAATTTACAAAAATAATATGCTATTAGTACGTACATCTGTTAATATCATTGCGTGATATTATGTTTTCTTAACACGACCCATGTTAAATAGGATCCAAATATCTGCCAATGTGTAATATAAGTCCTGTAGGATTGTGACGTATAGCGTACATGAACGCTCGATCAAAGGCAACAGTCGGACCTTTTTGATTTCGTGGCCGCTTGCGCCTCTTAGGATTCTGAGCTGCCCGGCGTGACTCGGAAACGTTTTTCCAAACATTACGAACACTGCTTCCTTTCACATGTTCTTGATCACTAGACAAGTTTCGAGGTTTCTGTTTTAGGTTCACACTCTCTTGTTTTGCTTCAAATTTAATTTGTACCCCTTCGGCGCCATCAAATAGGGACTCGTATTTTAGTGGGCCTTCTGTAAGCTCTCCAATGACATTCATTCCCCCAGATTTCTTCAATACATCATTATTCGTTCTTTTTTCCGTGTTCATTTTATGGGATTTCTCATTTTCGAATGTGTCTGCGATCTCCAATTTTTTATGTCTCCTCTGGCCCAGTTTAAATTCTTGATAATCGAATCCAGGATAATCTTTCAAGAGTCGCCATGACGGAGATTGCGGCTCGTTTTTCCCGCGCTTTTCTTGACCAATTGACTCATCCGATTGAGAGACACGCGCGTCCTTCACCTGCAGATTTTCTGAATACCTTGACTGGAAACGGCTTGTGACATTAGACGATGAATCATAGGGGTCCTCAGCTGTCGATGCTAGTGGTAAAAAAACACTTCTAAATGAGAATGATGAATTTTCCAGCAAACATGAGTGAAATTCCGTAAGTTGGACTACGTCAGCCAAATGAAGGGACTTGATGGAGTTCACGCCCGAGTAGTCGGTTTCTTTCTCCTGAGTGAAGTAAACTTTTAATTAATGTAAAGTCTAGTTATTATAATAATTTAGTTCCAACATATAGCTACCGAAATATCTTCAGCTCAAATACCTTCGCTTAAATGCGTGACCATGGAATCCGAAAATTAGGTAAAGGAATAAATTTAAACTTCGCAAATCAAAATGTCAGAAGTAATAAATCTGAATCTTATTATTTATTTTAGAAAAATGCTAAGAGCTTGTGATTTACTAGGAATCGTGGAGAAAGTTCAGTCGTAGTAAAAATTTAAATTTTCTATTAATGAAACTTTAATAAATCATTATATAAATTAGAGGTTGAATTTCCGTTGTGACAAATCCACGATGAAACTTAAAATTTAAGTTGAGTTTCACGGTGAATAAATGTACTCCACACATCCAGTAAAATACAATAGAAAGATGAGTTGTACCTCAAAGATAGTTTGTAGGTTCATGAGTTTGAGCAAAGGAGCGACGTCTGTGTAGGCGCGGTGCCGGAACAGCGGCACCTGTACCGTCAGTGTGTGTGGATGCACCGCACGCAACAGCGAACTCCAGCGCTCTGACGTCAGCCGGGTCTCGATCTTGGATGGCACAAAAACGCTTAATTGTTTTCAGAATTTTACAACGCTTTCGCAGTTTAAAATTTAATGATTAGCATGTATGTTGCTCGATTCCATCTTGACAATTCTGGAATAAATTGAAGAATTTTCCCATGCAATATGTGCGTTAGAGGATTTATCACTGAAACATTTACCCGGATAGAGTAAAAATCTGTTCCTGATATAAATCAGCTGAATAAAAATTAAAGTGATGAGTACATTAGCTTCTAGGTTAATTCCCAGAAATTAAAAAAAATCGAACTGAAGAGTCTTGCGTTCTAATTGATGGGATTGTAGAATCAATTATCGTATATTACAGGTATGTGCAGCGTAGTACATATTTTTACTTAAAATACTCACGAGCTTCAGGCCGTTTGCTACGAAATTCTTCTGCTCTCCTGGCAGCACGAGGATCATCGAGAGCTCTCCACCCAGCAACGACAGAGGAATCTGATACATTTAGTTGCGAAATAGAATAGGTTTTATAAATATCAACATTTTCAAAATACAAAAGAAAACAGGGTTAGTCATCTCTTTTCTTCACTTCAAAGATACATTTTTTTTCAGACTATAAATGAAAAAATCAATCCGGCTATTTTTGGGGGGAATTGTGTGTTTATTTAAATCTTATCCTAATTTGTTCATTATCGTCTTCAAGATTCGTCGATATGCACTGATGAACGAGCTTCACATTTTCTACACCCCAGATAAAACCAAAGCGTCATATAATACACGCCCTCTGTTGGGGTCCATGGAAGAGTACTTCAAAGTTCATTAGTTCAAGTACGGCTGGAGAATCAAGGTGACACCAGCAAGCTGTAGCATTATTTTTCATACTGTGAGCGGTGTGCATACCTCTGCAATTGTGGCGTCTTCCTCTCTAGAATACCCAGCGTTGACCGTCATTTTCTTGCTGATGCCAATCGTTCTGACGAGTCTTCGCTCAGCTGACGGGAATCTGATGAAACTCATGTCGAACAAGTCTGATTCTAGGAGCGGCACTGACCATGGAGACTGTAGGTACAAACGATAGAACTTATTATTCATAAAATTTGGGAGGTATATATTTGCAGCCTAACCCTTCTTTACGTAATTTACGAGTTACTGACGTAGCAGTTGTATTATATCAAATGTAAAACATTTTTCACAATAGTATTTGACGCATGAACTGGTAGTAAAGAATTTGCCGACAGTAGTAATGTATTTATGCATTACCTGCATAAGTGAACTCGACACGATACTGAAGGGACTACGGATATCAACTTTAGCATCCTCATCCAGGAGGGTTAGGACTCGGCCGTCGGTTTGGTTCACCACCGCCTCGTTGACGCGCATTCGGGCCTTGGCGCCTACGGTTGACCAGTCCGCCTCCTCGATGGTGGCTCCATAAAAATAATCTATGGTTTGTCGAAAGAAGTCCAGGCTGTGCACACTGTTTTGTCGAGGCTGCGAACAAAATTTATTAATTCAGCTGATCGTACTTCCACTGTAACAGCAATAAATTTACTAAAAAATTATTTGGCAAATGACAGCTCCTATCAAGTCCGGACTGTCAACAGAACTAGTTATAGCATCGTTATGTTAAAAGTTCCTATGACTAACAGTGTCACATAACTAACTAACTATGACTAGGCAGACTAGCTTATGTCTATAGACATAAAAGAAGACAAACTCCAAACACTGCAAGTGTTATCAAGATAATTTCGCGGTTTCAGACGAAATATGTTAGTTTCACTTTCTAATCTAAACTAAACTGCATTAAAGCGGTGCCACTGATACCTACTAATTCCACAAACATGTGGTTTGAGAAAACGATGTTGCTGTTCACGTTGTTCTTGAATATTTCGGCTCGGATATTTTTAAGCAGCAAGTGAGGATTGAAGTTACGGAAATCATCCGTTCGTAGAAGGTCCCCTAGCACCGCGGACGTGTTGCCTCTCGACCCGAGCAGCAGCATCGACAACGTGGAAATTAGGTTCATAGGAGATAGCCCGAAATTCCGAGACCGATGTAAGTGGGCGCCATGCCGGTATACCTGAGAGGAAATTCGAAAAGCTGATCGGAGCCGATTTGGGAAGAAAATGGTATTGTATGTTTAAATTTATTTTATAACACGATTGAAGGGAGAAAATTTTGAAAGGCTAGTTTTAATTTTTTACTTCACTAGAAAATAGGGCATAAAAGTTCCATCATATACTCAAAAATAACCAACATCGAATGAAACGTCGTTCATTGTATTGATGAACTGTCTTATGGTGGGGCTAAGGTTCTTGGTGGTTTCTTCAAGCCCGAGATTTCCAGATGGCGCTTGTCGTAAAATATTGCTTTTGGGTGGCACTGAGACGCCGAGTTGAGTCAGCATTTCTTGACCCGATAGAGCGTCAGGTCCAGAGCTTGTAAAATTATCCCTGACCGGTGTTACGACAACGGAAGCGAGGGAAATGTTCGAGTTCGCACTTGGTCTTGAACCCAAAGGGCGCGTCATGTCGCTGGGAACCTCCACCGGATGGTAGGAGGCTGCCACGTCCTTGCCTGGAAAGTCCAGCTTGGAAGGCATGGCCATCTTCGACGCATTGTATTGGTTGGAGTGATGTTGCTGCTCGTAATAGTCCTGATGGACAGTACAAGGAAAAATTTTTATTTATATATACCCGGCCCAGAACAATTTTTTTACTGAATTGTGCAGATCAATTTCAAAAACATTTATGGTCTAAATTTACCTGAGTTTCGTCATCCAAGTATATGTTTTGACTATAGTAGTCATAATTTTCAGAGTCATCTTTGAAGTCCATTCCATCTTCGAATGCATCAGTCGCCATTTGTGACGGTGGAAGGACGTTCGAGAAGTGAACGGTGGGAGAATCGTAGTCGTAATCATACAGGTAATTTGGATGCGAGTTTGTTCCCTCCTCAATGTTATCAATCAATTCTGATGACGAATCTCCTGTATCATCGACCCCAACATCCAAATCGCCATTTTCGTTTGGCTCCTTGGCCTGAAGAGAAATTGACTCAGGCCTTTGAGTTGTAGTCGACTCGAGAGTCTGAGTTGAGACCTGAGCAAAACTGGATACAGTTGATTCTTCATAATAATTTTCGCCGCTACTTCGTGTTGCTTCAAATACTTTACCCTCGGTAGCACCCTGTAAATCATTTGCACTAATTGTCGTAGAAGCCATTGAATACGGATGAGAATAGGTGACGATCGTAAATCGCTGATTCATAATATCTGTGTTATCACTAGTGAAGTTAGTTGAAAGGGGCATGCTTTCAATAGAATCCGAATTAATGTTATCGTTAGTAGAATTGCTGACCGAAAAAATTGTATTAATTTCTAGAACATCTCCATTGCTGTTCGGACTTTCTTCGGTGTCCGTGTCGAAAATGAGTTCCGATCTCTCCAGATTAATATCATGCGCTTCATTTTCCCGTTCAGTGATTTCATTTTCTAAAATGACTCCATGTGTAGTGATTTCATTTTCTAAAGCGGTCCCATCAGTTACAGGCAACCAAGATTGATTGAACAGAGAATTTACATCAAATGAATCGTAATGAGAAGTATCAAGGAAGACATCGTTAATACTTGGATTCGAAATAAAATAGTTTGCATTCGAGTCATTTTTGGGATTATTTCCTGAAGGAGTCACGATCGAATTGTTGGCTAAGAACTGAACGAATTGTTCTCGAATGAGCTGCTGGATGATGTTAGTGGATAACGTGGCTATCTCTCCCTCGTCCATGGTTGTGGTGCTCTCCACGATTCCATTATTAGCCATCTCATCTGCCATCACCTGAAAATAATATCAATGAATGAAATATTTTCATGGCACACCCAATTTGTGGGGGAAATGCATGCAACTGATTGAGAAAAAGTTCGTTTGAGTTTGAAATTGCTGCGTGAAAACTAGAATTTAAATGTTACGATTTTTTACATTTACGATACGAATGCCAATGAAATCTTCTATGTAATTCTTGTCCAGGGACCTATTGCAAAGAACAGTCAAATAAATAAATTCTGTCAAAAAACTAAATGTAATGGGCTTCGTTGCTATAATTACACGACTGAGATACTATTCTCTCCAATTTTAACTCCGAGTTCACGGAACCATCAGTAAAGTGCATTAAATTTTACATTAACACAAATAAAGCCATCGAATGCAACTTCTTTTGTTGGGAAGTTTCAACCTCATGTTAATTTTTTTGCTACTAAACTGTCATTTTGTGGGAATCTAAACCTCACGTACGTTTCATTACACTGAGATTGAGCTACTCACCTTGTGGACCGTGTTAACAACCCCGTCAATGTTGACGTCAGGCCTCTGGATGACCGCAGAGTCCCACGCCGCCCCCGCCACCAGCATGGGACTGGGAGGCTCTGTGGCTGTTGTGCCATCGTTAGGAACTTCGTTGTCGTCGGCGCTCACAAACCGGACGCGGTGGGAGATGAGCAAGTCCTGGAACCGATTTTCAAAAATATAAATGGAAACTCTATGAAAATCAAAATGAATATGTTTCATATTGAATTTCCCACTTCACTGAATGAATTTTTATTTGGGCCTTGCTGAAGTTCAATTGCATAATGGTTAAACTATCGATTCATCTCAGACGAACCCATAAGGAAGAGATGCTTTATACATCCATCCAATTGAACATTTTAATTAAATTATAGTAACCCTTTTACTGATTCTACGATCACATTCCTAAAGATTTACCTGTATTTGTTGCAATGTTATCCATTTTTGAACGAATCGCCCCTCATGATCATAGAGAAAAAACTGGAACCTTGTCTCGGCAAGCGGGTGTTTGATGCCATCAGAGACCGCATTTTCTTTCTCTTCGCGAGGTGAAGGCTTTTTCTCGTGTACCTTTCTTCCTGCTTCTAGTCCAGGCGACGCCTGCACGCTGGAGTTAGGAACATCTTCAGCTTCTTCTTCAGATGAACTCAAATTGCGTGTGGTCTCTTGAAGCCAAATTAATTGTAGAACTTCAGGTCGATTTGGATCGTGTGTTACCAACTCATCGTTCAGTAACACATGGTCCTTTTTAATTACCTTTCCAAAGTCTTTTTCTGTTTGTTGATTTTTTGGAATTAATGAAATCCTTTTCCTATGGAAACGATACAACACAAATTTAGATTTGTCCAAGGTAGTCACGTTTCTTAATAAAGTCAAATAATGGATATAAATTAGATGTATAAATTCAGTTTATGACACAAGACAGATAATTGCAATTAATCACAATTTAGACTGAATATACCTAATATACCAGACATAGAAACTGTTAGTGATTTATATATTTCTACGGTAGTCCAAAACAAACCTCGGGACTAGTGAGCCAGTGCAATAAAATGCACTTATTGGAATGAAGATGAGGTAGATGTCGAAAATCTTCATTTCTATTTCACTTTTAAATAAAGGAGATCATATTTTTCGGCGTGCAATACGTAAGCAAACATAAAGTTAATCTTGCCTTGGTCCTCAAATTATAAAATAGCACTATATGTATAACACATTGAAACGTATTATTTGACGCTTACTTAATTTATTTATATCATACGCCAAAGATTGTTGACAATTTCTTACAATAAATAAATCTGCAAAAAAATTGAAAATGAGCCGTTGGTGTGCAGCCATTTGTTATTGTTGTCAATTTTTGATTAGGAGCGAATTTCACTCAATTCGGCTTTGAAAGTGCTTGAGTCTGGACTCCCACGTGACGTCATCTGCTTCGCGCAGAAGGAAAGATCCTATGGTGAGATTAGGCTTTTATTAATGCACCTCCATCATTACCAACTCTGCTGTCGTGCCGGAAAGTATATAAAGACTCGCAAGAAACATGTACAGAGATCGGTTTTCCTATTAAAGATCATCTCCGGGTACGTGATCTCCAAGTCCGATGGTAGTCTGTCATGAAGCAAAAGTAAATGGATTCCAAGTACGACCAATTATCCTCTATGTACCAGAAGACCAAAGCTGGCAACACAAAAGCTATCAGCAATATAATGAAGCAGGTGCACAACAGTTGCAAAATCTGAAGCAGTGTTCCGTGGCGTCCGTTGAAACGATTTGAGACAAACAAGTCAAATATCAAAGTCAAAGTCGTATACCGGTCTTCTAAGTCGTATATAGGCGAAAACTCTCAGAAATATTATCGTCATCGGAATACCGATTGATGAGAACATCATACAGAACCTCTTGCCATGCAGCAGTGGACAATTGATATTGATTGCCAAATCAAACAGTCATTACTAGGGTTATACAAAACAGGAAGCTTCCAGATAAGGATTTTTACGGACTGAGATGTTGCGGCATTTCGTGAGAATATGGAGTTGGAAAAATGCAAAGAGAACTTCCTTCTTCCTAAATTCGGAGGTCAACTGTCTTCTTAAATGAATTTTTTTGTTTGTCTATTTTTCTTCATTGACAGAGGGGGCGTTCTTGCTACAGTACCTAGGAAGCGATCCTTGCGATGACGTCAGACGAGAAGCAACTGCGTTTCTTTTTCAATTCGCACCCAGAGCCAGAGGTCAACGAGACTGCATTGAGAAACTTGATTTTCTGAAGTGCAAGTAACGAATCTTCAACTCATGCTTAATCATTAATCAATCATGCTTAATCAATGAAAATTAATGAGTCGAAGATTCGAACGTGCAATTATACAATCAAATTTCTAAGTGCAGTCTCGTTGACCTCTGGCCTCTGGGTGCGAATGGAAAATGAAACGCACTGTTGCAATGTACGTATTTATTCGCGGTTATATAACGTAGATACAAAACTCGCCACATTAAAGTTTGCCTTAAATTTCTGCTTGATATATCGTTCACTTGATAATGGTACAAGTAGTGCTTGCGTTGAGAGTCTCGTGAGCTTTTGTCTGTTAATTTGTTTTTTCCCATCCAATTATAAATATGAAATTTTTATCGATATATTTCCAAACACCGCCATTTATCCAATTATTATCACTCGCAGTTATTCAATCATCGATTTTTCAATATATTCTCTACATTATTATCAACATGCACATCTCATTTAGTGATACAACGTAAATTCCTGTACTGTTTTGACTGCCTTATGGTCACCACAACCGCTAGATAGCTAACAAGCAGCCAGTACACTGATATTCTCCGCATGTGGTCCGCAGCCGCCTTGTGGCTGGTGAACCCGTTACGCTGCTCACGTAGCGGCAGCATGCCCAGAGGCCATCCGTGTAGGTGAAGAAGCTGCGCCGGTAGTTGACGCCCCCCAGTTACGTCCTGTTATCTCTACGTATCTTGCGGTTTGATGTTCCTCCTTGTAGGGGAATAAAGTGCACAACTGTAGGTAGTTGATACTGTAACTTTCTCTGCATAAAGTGAATAGGTTAGGAAATTGCGATATAAATATTCACGTTCATACACTTATCGGAGTCAATGAAGAAAGGAAATCTGGCTAGCAAATCTATCGGTAGCAGTTGAAATTGATGTCATGTGATGGGGTCTCTGAACTGTCTAAGATTATTTCGTTTACCAGCATGTTCCTCACTCCTTCATAAAGGCACCTTCGATCATCAATGCTAAATTCACCATAGAGCGTTAAATTTAAATTTGGTAAGATTTTAATTGCGGAACGGCATATTTTTGGAACGTAATGGCAATTTCATCCAACTAAGATCCAAGATACCACTAATGGTTGCAGGGCGATAACGATTTGTCTGCAACTAAAAGGAAGTCCGGCGCAGCGACTAAGTCTTGCCTTACTTGGATCGAGTGTACGAGCTGCATCAGACAAGCTCAAGGAGAACCAAGTTTTCGAAGCATGAACTGTGTTCTATTTGTTTAACACTGCCTTGATGCTCGTAGTAAAAATTAAATTTCACTTGTTTTAATATTATATTACTACATGCAGCACTCGATTACCAGCACGTTTCCTTGATGCATCTAAACTTGTTTTTTTTTCACAAAATATTCTGTGTTTCAATTCCTGGAACTCTAATTGAACGAGGACCTAAATTTATTGCCTTTTTGAATGTCTGTCCTATGTTTAAATAATGTAATACTCAAGAGCGTCTCAAAGAAGGGTGCGGAATCATTGTTGCGCAGATTGGGTTTTGTTCCGTGAAAGTTCAATGAATAGCTAATGAAGATACAATATTTGAAGATCCCATAAGGAAAATAATGCATTCGTGTTCTCTGTACAAACAGATTTTTTTCATTTACACATTGCATTGGATTGCGACAACGTTAACTCATTTCGTTATTTCCGAGATCCTTATAAATTATCTTGAAGAATAAATCGCTTATACAGAAATGAGTAATCAGTTGGGTGACCGAGTGGTTGAAGCTGAAGAGCAGTAAAATTGGAACAATGAGTTGTAGTCTTAAAGATTCGATACCAGCACCCGGCTGAATAAAGTTCCTGTCGAAATCGGCATGGTGGCACGGGCAGTAAAAAAGGTGCAGTGGATATTAAAGCAGTGAGTTGTATGTTCGAGACCCGTAAAAAGCTGCGGAAATTCTGAGATGTTCAAAATCAGTGCGCAGGCAAATGGCGTAATCTTCAACGCTGACAACGATATTATATCAATTGTCATATTCATTCGCTTTTTAAATATTTCAAGCTCGAATTAAAATAAATACTCGGTAACTGCGGCTAATCCGATCCCCTTTCTATGAATTCCTTACCGTTCAGTGGACACAAATGGTCATTCGTGGAAAGCGTGTAAAGTATCATGACATCAAATAAAATGATTTTAGTTAGAGATAGGTTCAGTAATTCTCGGTGCGTGTGATTTGAGATTTTTTTACGATTATATCACTTGAGAAGATTTTTATACGACTATATCAACTTGAGAAGATTTTTATACGACTATATCTGTTTCACCAAAATTAGGAAATAAAAAACGAAAACGCTATGCTAAGTTAAAATAATAAAAAAAAAACAATAAAAGGCTATTGATGAATACAGTATCTTTCAACTTCATTTACCGGTAGTTGTGTCAAGCGTGCGTAGTTCAGTTCCATACGCTCAGTAATAACCGGAAGGCGGCTACAGACCATAAAGTATCAGCTTTCAAATACCTCTGTCGATCGGCTTACAACTCAACGCAAACTGACCGGCCGTGATGATTTGTTGTTCTGACCAACCGCACAATTTGGGTCACTGGTGCGAATGTGCGATCAGAAAAGTGTTTACCGCAGCACGTTCGGCTCGTCACTCCCGCGCGCGTGTGAGAACTCGTGGCAGCTGTAGTCGTCTGCAATGTTATAGTTTAGAGCCAAATATAGCCTCGCATTTGATGGAAATATTAGTTTCCAAATTCAATATATGCGGATGCATCAACATAAAAACTTCTCATCGTGAGTATAGCGCAGCGTGTGTGTATGTGGAGCCCCTCTTGGCCGCTGTATTCGGCTACTATATGTTGTTTTGTTTTCGAGCCGAAACAAGGCTCGCGCTCGGGAGAGGTACAAGTTCCTATATTTAAATATGTGTGTAAATATTTATTAACGTAACTACTGTCAATCGTTACATGCATAGTATGTATTTAGTTTCTCTGTTCTTGTATATAAACTGAGATATGAGTCTTGCTGCGGATAAATAACAGCCTTCATTGTTTAGTGAATTAAATGCCTTTGTTAAATAACTTCGTGCTCTTTTTGAAAATGAGTAAGTACCACGGCTTAAATTAATTGTTTGCTCTTGGGAAGAATCTCCACTGAAAATTATTCGGATCACAAGATCGCGGTCATTGCTCAGAAGTGTTCCACGCGCATTGTTCGTCGTGAGGAAAATTCGATTTATGCAATCTCAGTAGTAACCTATATCGTTTGTTTCGAGTTCTTTTCACCTATAGTCAAATTGTGCTATTATCCAGAAATACAATAACTCATTAATGAATAGTTTCCTCTATGTAAATAGTAATTATTGAGCACGAATGTGTCCAGCCCATGGGAAAGAAAGCTTGTGTCGCTCAGTCCCGTTGCTCCGCCACGAGAAAAACTTTGCCGCCCGACGAGCGGAGTTCCGCTGATGCCTGAGAGGCGACCGAGTAACGCTGCGGTGTTTCAGCGTACGTATACATAACGGAGTTTATTTAACCTGCACAACGCTCACTACGATTGCCTGTTGCATCTGTAACTCGAAGTGAACGTAAAAACCCCATACTGAACGGTGCCTGAAATTTTATTTTCATTTATCAGATTGGCAGAAGCAAGTTATTACTGTACTCTAAGAGCAGATCAACGTTGAACGTACTGAGAAAAAGACCGCAATGTTAGAAGACTACGTTCACAATTCGATGGCTTCAACCGGACTCCGCTACTGGGAAGTGACCTCTTAACACGAATTGCAAATTATACATTTTATCTCCTTCGCATTAAACGTGGGAACCGAACATTGACAACATATGGCTAAGTTCTTCGTCGCACGGATCCTCGATATATAAAACTGGGTTAGTGGATAGATTTTATATGCGTCGTTCAACACTTTAAAGATATGTGATGTCAATTTATCGTAGGAATTTTGTTTCTGATTGGTGAATATTTCTTACGTTTTATTAAAAGTTTCCTTGTGATATCAGCGGAACAAGTCGGATGTATTCTGTTGAGTCGAGTCAATCGCATTCGTATAACTATACGTACATGACCGTCGGACTTTATATACTTATTATTCGGGAATCACTTTTTAGAACTCCATCTCATTGGTAAATATCATAAATTCGGCGACTTGAGTAATGGACACGATATTTGTAGCCGGTCACAAACTAGACCGTTTGAGTTTCTTTTCACAGAAACGACCTCTGTGAACAGTAAAGAGCTATCAATGGTCATGATAACGTTAGATAAATAATTCATATTAATATATGAAAGATTATTTGATAAAATGATATCTCGTAAAATAAAGTCGCAAAATTTGGTTGTTTAATGCAGTAATTGCTCACTATTTTCATGAAAAAGTAAAATTTTTTCTATAGTTCAAGTTTGTTTAGGAATTACATGTTTAAAATCAGAACTTCATTATTAAGCTTTTCGTGATCGAACGAAAAATAATGTTGTACTTCATTATTAATGTTATGAAACTCAATAGGTGGCTTTCGATAAGTTTTAAATTTTTTATTTTCTTTTGCCCTAATACTTATTTATTTCCAGTGAAAATTAAATACAACTTGATGAAGATTAGACTCCATACATATCATAATCAACTACATAGTATATTTACCTGTTAGGAACACTTTCGGCCATCAGCAACTAACTTACCAGAACCCTGAGGAAATTGAATTTTTCTCAGCGAACTTACTCGGAATAAAAACACTGCACTGACTTTATCATGCGTTTCCTTTTAATTTCAACACGTATTCATGAATTATTGCTCCACAAAAAATTTCCTAGACGTTAATTAATTAAATCCAATCATAACTGACTATCAATATAAATATTCGAAATAGTCATCAATAGAAAAAAATTCAGCGTAATGAACTAATTTTTCGTCACTTCTTTTTTTTTATTCGAGATCGAAATGCGTGTCTTGCATTACCGTGACTATTTCCTGCTGAGTGCTGGCACCAACTGACACACGAGCTCTTTCTGAAGCTTCAATGGGCTGGTAGAGCCTAATGCCTTCCATCAAGCCACTACAATTTAGAATTTATTTATTTAATTCTTACATTATTGCACAGTTTAAATGGTTTTCTTTATACTTGAAATTTTTTCCGATTAATCATGCATATGAAAATTTTTCTAAATTTATTGATAAAAAAATTTCACACGTTTATCAAATTTTTAATGGATACTATTTTTTAGAGTGTTGAAATTGATCACAAAAAGATGAATTTATGCAAATTTATTATTTCAAATTATAATATTTTGATGAATTAATGACTATAATTTTCAGTACTTTGCATCCTTATTTAATTTCCTTTGCATCGGAACGGAGTTCTTGTTGTTACCGCTGAACCGCTCCGTAAGTGCATGCTTGTTTGCTTCCAGTGATGCCGATGTTTCCCGCACCCGCAGTTATTGTGGTTTGTGGAGATTCCCTCAGTGTGGTATTGCTTTTTCACAATCTCTTTTGCTTTTGAATTTAAGAAAAAATCTTTTCGAGATCATTCACCATGGTTGATATCAACTTGAGTGAGGCAGAGAAACGATATATCATAGATGGAGTTAAGGTTGGTTAACTTGGAGTCTTGGGTTGTTATTTGTTTGATTAATTTGTTTTTTGTTTGATCAATCTGAAACATTATTTAGTCCTATTAAATGTTTTTAATTTCATTAATAAAATAATGAGTTTCCAAATCAAAACTCATTGCCTAGTGCCTGCTACCAATCTGCAATATCTTGAATATAATATTAATAGAATAAAAATATTAATAAATTTTGCAAAAATTGCGGATAATAATAATTATTTATAGATGATTTTCACAAATCAAGGGCAATAATTATCTGTGCCAAATAAATCCAAACCAAATTACCAATTAGGGCCAATGCACCATATTCCAACAGTCAACACTGTAGGTAATTCTGACACCCCTTAACTTTTCCTTTATGTTAAGCTTTGTCTTAGTTCCACGCATGCACTAGTGAGCACCACTGTGCAGAGAGTGGATGAATATTGCAAGGTCTTTGGGGATACTTCAGTAGCAAAATTTATGCCCTCAGAAGATCTTGCCATTTGCCAACACATTTAGATTGAAATTCTTTCATTTAAAATATTTGTCAGTCTTCGGCCAACTATTTAAAAAAAGTAAGGTTTCTGATTTGTTGGATTGATTAGTATGCAGTGAAGCTTGTCTGGAAATCAGTTGCGATGAGTTCCCACCAAAAAAAATGTAAACATCAAGTTTACGATTACGTAGTTGCGGTCAGTGACGGTCACATTAGAGTGGTCAGACTGCATTATCACATGTTCAGTTGACACTTGCTGTACAATCAGACTGTTTTTAGGGTAAAATTAGTTATTTGGAGTAACACGTGCATGCAACCTTGTTAATACGCTGTCTCTTATACACATCTAGATGTGTATAAGAGACAGATATAAAACTGGGTTAGTGGATAGATTTTATATGCGTCGTTCAACACTTTAATGATATGTCATGGCAATTTANACATCATGGCTTGGCCAATTTTACCGATGTCATTGTCATTTTTCACGTCATTGATATAAATCTGGAAGCAACGTAAGTAAGTAAGGAATTTCCCAGTTCAAATATTTATTTATTTACTTACATCAACTTCGAAAGTGTACACATTTTAAAATTGAGTTGTTATGAGACCATAACTGAGAAAATGTTGCTCAATGGGTTAGTCCAGTCGTAAATGAGACTTTCGTTATTCCCTTCCTATCCACCCCCCCCGCTGAGCCGGACCGGTCGATGCTCTTGCAAACGCATAAGTACTCGCAATAATTCCCTGCCACCATGCTAAGAATCCTTTAAGTATACTTGTATTTGCTGATTTTAAGTGGTAAATAAATTAATAGATGATTGATTTAAGAGACAGTTTTAGACACATAAAAAATATTCTGACACAGGGAGTCAGAATTACGACACACAGGATGTCGTATTCCAACACAGGGTGTCAGAATTATGAATTAAAATTTTTGTAGCGCTGTCAGAGATCGGAATTAGTCTCACAATATGCCACATTTAGTCACACACAGTGTTAGAATTCAGCGATTTTGTAGAATTGAATTCTAAAGGCTGTTAAATAAATATGGCAACAGTTTGTGACATTTCATCATTGCTGGCGCATAGTGTGATGTTTTGAAAGTGACATAAACCAGTCAGAATTTGAGTTGTGCATACAGTGATCTATTTCTAGCCATTTATTTCTTGCTACGTCCTTAAGGTGTTTCGAATATGGTATGTTTACCCTATTACAAATAGGCAAAAAAATGTGAAAAGATATATAAGCATTAATAATATAAAAAAAAAACTTGGAAGTTAGAAACAACAAATAAAAATATCAAACTCTAAGTTGATGTACAAAATAGAACAAGAGTTTGCTATTTAATCAGGACATGCTGTTCATAATTTTTTATTATATACTTGCTTCAAAAATCTTATCTCTCTTAAGAGAAAAATTTTAATATCAAATAGACTAACAAATATATCAATTTTTTTAGGCAAATTGTAATTGGATTTTGTAGTAATATTGCTATAAATTTGAAATATCGGACAGAGGTTTCCTAAAATTACAGGTAAATACAATATTTTTTCAGGTGATTTTTGAAAAATCACTCAAATAAGATGCGTTTAAAAATTTATTTTCAAAGAACACTGCTAAAGAGGCCAGTGTCTCTGACCTTACACATGTACAATGAATTTCTAATCTTGTTATAAATATTAAAAAAAGTTTTTCTTAAATTTTGTTAAATTTGAAAAAATTTTGATTTCGAAAATTATTTATTCTGTCAATTGATTCATGCATTGTCTCCAATTTTATGCAGGTGTGCAAACTGCAAAATTTCAGATCACTTGGACAGGTAGAATGCAGAAGTGTGTTAAATATTGATTATACCTAAGACTTTTTGCAGGCAAACAAGCAAAAAGAAGTGTTGTAACAAGAAGTGAAGTTAAAAAATGTTGTAAAATAGGCAGTTATTTATAATAATTATTTTTTAATGAAGAAATATGAAAAAGACTATAGGAATTGTTTAAATTAGCCAGATTTATAGTCATTTTTATTTGATTCTTGGCTTGTGTCTCAAATTCCACTTAGGTATTGCTAGAGACCAGAGAAATTAACATAGAAACTCTAATCGGACTTGGACACAAACACATTTGCATAAATGATAAATTATTGCATAGACAATAAATGAATGAGACTGTACTAAACATTTGTTTGCATTTGAATTGCCTAATCATACCAAAATTCCATTATTTTGAAATGTAAGCCTCTAACTCTACTTGCTTATTATATACTTGTATAAGAGTACCAGTATATAATGAGATTTAGTGTTCTTTAATTGTTGTTTTTGCTGTGTACCATTTGATCATTTATTACTTACAGTGCATTCCAAATTTTTTCTTGACAAAATAACCATGCACCAGGCACATTTAGAAATTGAAGACATAAATTCTTGTGCACCTAGCACATCTTCCCTAGTATGGCTCCTGAGTTAGAAAGTTAACTGTTTAATGCAGGCCTAATTAGCCACATAAGACATAACAACAATCAACCTGCATAATTAAGCAATTACCATTTGTGTCTCAACTAAGCTCTTCTCCTCCTCTTAAGTCTGCCAAGTGAATGGAGCAATTGAGACTTTCCAAGCTCATACTATGCATTATACTATTACATATTTTAAGCATTGTAAGTTTTCCAATAAATTATTTAAAGACAATTAACATTCATAATTATGAAAAACTAACTTATTCTTATTAACTTACTTATTAGTACTTATTAAACTTATTCTAATATTAAACTTGCCTGGTGAGTTGGAGTACTATTTCTGGTCCATGTCACATGAACCTCTCCCAATTTATATGGTCACTTCGAGTTTCTAATTGGTTTAATTATATATTTTAACATACCCTAACCATGTTATTCTGAAGGAATAGCATGATAATTGTTTCAATCACTTAGCACAGTTAACATTGATATATTTGCTAAATTTTAGGCATACTTGTCAGAATTTTTAATGTAAAGTGTAATTACATGATTTATTAAATGATAATTGAAATGATAAATGTGTAACTGCAAAACTTGGTTAGGGCTCATGGTAAGAACATAGCAAGTCTAACCACTTTATTGGGTGATGCAAGAAAACAAGCTACATTGAAACAAATCCCATCTTAATTATAGAAGGATAAAGTTGCTATGGAATTATTTAAGGATTTTACTGAGCGTTAGCAAATAAATGAGCACTTATACTAATAACAAAATTTAAATGGAGTAAGATTATAATACAACAATCTTCAGTGTTGCGTTCGGTGAAAGAAATTTAACTGCTATTAATGATGTTTATTTTGTTTTGCAATGCCTTTTTGCACTCACTTTGACTGTAACAACTTGTGCTTCATGAGTTGGAAAATACATCAAAAGAACTAGGAAATAGAGTACATTGTATTGAATTTGAAAATAGACTTTAACAAATTGTTGGAACACACATGATTAATTAATGAAAACTAATAAAATTTCAATAATTTAATAACTAACAACTGATCTCAATGAACTTAACTTCTAATTAGTAATGAAAATAAGGCTTTTTTTCTTTAAGTTCTCAATCTGCTGGCTTCTAGGCAGTATCATGATCAACTAATAAAATCTCTACATTGTCTAAGATTTCACTAATGTTGTGGGAATTTAATCCTTTGCAGCTCGGCATTCGAGCAGATGGCCGTGGTCCACTAGATTACAGAGAGCTGGAGTTAGAAACTGGTGTGCTGGATACAGCAAATGGCTCTGCTCGAGTGCGGCTACACAGGACAGATATTCTGGTCACTGTAAAGATGGAGCTAGAGCCACCATTGCCTGGACGGCCAAACCACGGCAAACTTTTGTTTTTTGTTAACTGGTACGATGAACACATGTGACATTTAAATGTGGTGAACTCTTCTTGTTTCTTGAAATTCTGAAGCTTAAATTTCCAACTCAGTTATTGGTTAAATATTTGATTATTGTGAATAAAAAATTGGTAACATTAGATCTTTTATAATTATTCTATTTTATGTTTTACCACTTTGAAAGCCTCATTACTATTCTCAATGTAATAACAAAAAATGTATTTTATCTAGCGTAATTTTTTAATGAAAAAAAATCAGCTACTACGCACTTATTTTCTGTGAGATGAGAGTTGAGCTATTAATTAAAGCTGTGGAAATGAGAGATAAGCAAATCATTATACTTTGTTTAATTGAAAATTTCCCTCAGTTCTGCCAACGCTGCTCCTGAGTTTGAAGGTCGTGGAGGAGAAGAGCTGGCAAGTCGACTGAGCAGCGTCTTGGAGCGCCTCTACAGCGATGCCAATGCATTCAACACAGCTGGCCTGGTTGTAGTGCCTGGCAAATATGTTAAGGCTTTCTACGTTGATGTTGAGGTTAGTCTGGATATTGATTGCTAATACAACTCAAAATATTATATTTTTTCTTGTATTATATGAATGTTCAGAATTAAACCGCAGAGAATGTTATTGTTTATTTAGTTTGTGATGTACGTATAATTACACTTTATACATAGGTAAAGACATTTCTTATTGAGTTAATGTATCTATTATGTACGAAGATTGTTAAAGTTACCTCTGGGCATCATTATTCCATTTGTAGTTTTTTGTTCAAATTTTAGTTAATTTGGTTTACGTTATATTCAAATATTCATCACAATTCAAATATTCAAAAGTTCAAATATTCATCACAATTATTTTTTGACTCGTTCACTCTTGAGTGTCAAGAAATTTATAATGTATCAAGCAATGGAAAAAACGTGCTGCTTTCGTTCACTTTAAATGTGACTGGAATTACTTTTCTAAATTTATTAATAGCGGAAAATGCTCGCCTTTTAGACAGCTTTATATTCTGAAACTCATATGCATTGATCACGTTTTTTGACTCTCATTTCTGCAGGTATTAGAGTGTGGTGGTAATCTTTTTGATGTAGTATCTCTGGGTGTAAAATCCGCCTTGTACGCAACCCGTACTCCACGCATCACCATCACAGGGGAGGACGGTGGAGAGCTAGAATTTACACTCTCAGACAACCCATACGACGTCGACCGACTCGACGTTACCAATGCTCCTATTCTCATTACGCATTTGAGGGTAAGCAGCCTGATACCTGATACTCCTATGTTGTGAATATAATACCACTGTTAAATTTCGAATAGAGAGAGACTCGTGCAAATGAATTAGATTCATCTCACAGAATAGTAACTCCCATAAACCTTAACAAATGGGCGAACTATTCTTCTCACAGAATAGTAACTCCCATAAATCTTAACAAATGTACGAACTATTCATCTCAAAGAATAGTACCAAACTCCCATAAACCTTTAAAAATGGACGAACTAAATTACTTGTTGCTAATTGTAATTTTTCGATCAATCGCGGTTACCAGATATCAGAAGGAATAACAATAGTGGATCCTACAATTGAGGAAGAGCAATGTGCCCCCGTGAGCGTGGTGGTTGGTGTGGCTCCCAACGCCACCATCTGCGCCGTGCATCTTCTGGGTCCAGGCACCATCGGGCCCCACACACTCAAAAAAGCTCTCAAGGTACGAGCGTACAAACTTTTAATAACCCTTTGTTTATGGATACAGTAGCCGTCGTCGATGTTGTTCGTACATAAAGATCTGCTGGGGCCATACTTTCAAAACTCGCTAAGTGAAAGTAAGTACTTACGCTCTATTTTCTTGTCTATGATTGGTGGATTTACCTTGAAAGCCCGTCAATGATTGGCGGATGAACTTACGATCTCTTAACTTTTTTTGAAAGTATGGGCCCTGGGACCGAGTATTCCGTCAGTACACAAAGGATTAGGTACTCTTAACCTCCAACACAATTATTCTTATTTTTGTTATTAATTTTGCGTTTACAGAACTGAGAATAAGACGGAATGAACGTTGGAAAAGAAGTTAGTTTATTTTATTTCAGTGCGTGTGCCATGCGATGCTAATCAGAATCCCATCTTACGATACAAAATTAAAATTTATGTGCGATATTTCATCTAAAATCAGCTCGTCTTTCTTCAGCTATCATCAGTCATATACGGGTATTCATATATTTTTTCGAAGGCCAGGAATTTATTTTCTGGAACAGTATCTTCAGATGACGTTCGGAGAGTTTTATTCTTTATTGAGAGGTCATGATAATCCTGGGGAGCTGAGCAATCGCGTTCAATATATAATACCCGATGATTCAAGCACGGGTCTTCAGTAATTAGAAAAGCAAATAAGAATTCATATTGTATATAAAACAATATATTTAAATAAAAATTATAATAATATGAAAACGTTGAACATGAAATTCAGATTGATGGATAAATGTGAAAAGCTTCTATTCAAGTATAGTTCTAGAAAGCGTGGTTGTTATTAGTCATTGCACTACTGCTACCAACTTCATCAAGTAATTTCAGATAGGGTCAGCGTTAATTTCTACGTTTTTTCACTGCTGTAATCATTTTGGCACACATTTCTTCAGAGCACTGGATTGACAGGGTTAAAATCTTTCAATTGTTTTCCAAACATTAAAATAATGCTCACAACCTACAAAAAATATAACTCGGTACTCATTGCAGTGAGTGACAGAGCGCATTTTCTCGTCGACGAAAACGTTAAGTCACGGACAGACAGACGGACATGACGAGCGATATAGTGACTTTTTTCCATAAATGAGAAAATGCGCTAAAAGGCCTTATTTTTCATAACTGATTAGAAATTAAGTTCATCAGCATCAGTTGTTAGTTATTAAATTTATAAAATTATACCGTATTAGTTTTCGTTAATTAATCATGTGTGTTCCAACAATAAAGAACAATTTGTTGAACTTTATTTCCAAATTCAATACAATGTACTGAATTATTCTTATGATGCATTTTCCAACTTATGAAGCAAAAATTTTTACAGTCTTAACAGTTTTAATGCAAAAAAAAGAAGTTCAAAGAAACAGTTGAGAATATAATATGCTTTGGTCTTTCACCAGGGAAGTGCAGTGCTCGGGGCCGAAATTCACGCTCGCCTCATCGCAAAGCTGAAGCAAGAAGAAAGCATTCCTGACAGACGCATACGAGGTTTTCTCGGATAACATTGCTACTTTCCAATTTTTTGCCCATAAATGTTCTTAAAAAAGCGAAATGTATCTCTCATTCCCATTCACTGCGCCCACCCGTGATACTATACCCATAGTGTAACTTGTGCATTATACAGACAGAATTATACCTTCGTAGATAACTTCCCAGAAAATGCTAGATATGGTAACAGGATATTCTCTACTGCAAGTATAGAAGTTTGGGCTATTTTATCTAAAATAATTCAACGTGATTTTCTAACGATTGATAGAACCATAATAGTGGTTTTGGCTAACGACAATAAAGTCTCTCTGGAAATATAATATATAATAAAATTCCATAATCTAGCTACGAATATTGTAAATTCATGTCTCTGCTTTCTAAAACTTGAGCCCTCATGCCGAGTCAAGCAAAGATGTGAAGGCGAAGAGGAGGTTTTCTGCTTTGGAGTGATCGGCTGACGAGTCTGGAAGAAGTCTCATGGCAGTTCGGAGGAGTTGCACGCTATCGGACACAGCCACATTCGGATTTTTCAGTTGATTTGCGTCCTGCAAGTAATTGGCAAAATTATCAGAAATACACATTTCATCAACAAGTTGAGGAGCCTGAGCTGTGTAAATTTATATTAACATTCATAAATATTTGTATCACTCGTATTTTGATGACGAACTTCTACCGTGTTGTCTGGTTTTCAATGATTAATTATTTGAATGAGCAAAGTGTGATTGTATGTTCTTGTTATATATTCCTCATTAAACGAAATCTAACCACTCGGTATAAATTTTTATACGATGAAATCTAATTTAAGCGGCTGGAATACACCAGACCGTTGGAAAATAACTTAAATTTTCATAGTGTGCAAAACGAACTGCGACATTTAAACTTAAACCAGCACTGCATTCTTAATTTTCAGGAATATTGACATTTCTGGGTATATTTAATTTCTCAAGGAAATTCGCATTTGCAATTAACTTACAAACTACATACAATCTGCAATTCCCTTGAAATAATTGAGCTCAGTCGAATTTCCAAATTACGAAGCGCATCGTTCATGTCACTTACCAGAGATTTGATCCAATGTGATATTGAAGCGCCGAGGTTGACTGTGAGAGGCACTGGACGAGGGCTGGTGTCCAAGAGATACTTGTAGCGGCAAGCCGCGAGGAGCACCAAGTTCTGACCAAGCTGCCTGGTCTGACGCACCAAACGCACCGCCTGCATTGGGAGGAAGGGCATCCTTGGTTAATGTTTCGGACGTCGCAGTTCCAGGCCACGCTGCAGCTAATTCACCTCAAGGCTTAGGAGCTTATTGAGATTACAAAGTATGTTTCTAATCAAATTTTTAACTGGGAACAAAGAAAGCTGCTTCCTACATTCATGATTTTTTCCGGTCCTGCTAAGGAAAATGATAATTCTAGGATATTATATATTATTGTTATGAAATTAAAAATTAAATTGAAAAAAGTCAACTTGCCAAAATTATTCAGTCGTTCTTTCAGATACCAGTCCTAGCCGTTTTGCCTAGTTTACTTCCTAGTCCGATCGCAAATAATAAATAGTGGGAAATCGAGAATAATTTCTACTGACATCTTCGGCGAATTTATCATGTCCGCAACTGTAGAGCTCGATGACTTGGTATCGGTAGAGGTGGTCGAGTCCCACGCCCCAGAGCTCACCCAACTGACCTCCTGGTAGACGGGCTGGTCAGGCAGCGTGGCGATGGCTGCGGTTATTGCGCTCGTCAAGAACTCGAGTCTCGCGCTTGTCACGCTGGGGGCTTCATCGACACCTCCTTGAGCCCAGTCCACGTGCAAGCTTTTGTGCAGCACACACCGACTCTGGATATCAAGTTAACCGTGAATGAAAAAAAAGCAATTATGTTAGATCTATTGGTATCCTGAATTATGTCGATTCATCGGTCTGATGCAGTGCTAGTAAAGTATTCACGCATCATTAAACTGGAAAATTCAGGAACTGAGATTGGTGAATGAGATGAGCGTTTTCTGGATTTTCACTCACTCTTTCGTTGTAAAGCGCAAGAGGTTTTTTGCCTCTGATATCGAGAGTGGCTATGAGTCTGAGGGTGTCGGTGAGCTGTGCGTGCAGCAGCACCAGGTCGTAGGACGTCGCCCTCTGCAACACTGCCACCTCCACCAGGCTCTTGGGGCCGTGCCAACTGCCACGTCTACCGCTACAACGCGCAAAATTTCTTTAGTCGTTCATACGCATATCAAGAAATAAATCGTAAATTTCTATAATCATATCTAAAATTTATCGAAAATCAATTACATAGAGAGCATTAATGGCAGAGCACGATGAAAAAATATCAATATACAACTAGGACAAACGTATATAAGTACTTATACCATCAGTCTGCTTATATCGCAAGTTCACAAGGAATTTAAAAGAAAAAAAAACGCCAAGAAAATTCACCATATCGATATGGAAAACGTTTCGAAGTCCATCTCCATCATCAATTCGACTAAACTAAAAATGAATAAGTCAAAATTCAAAGACAGACATAAAACCTAAACAAGACCTAACATATCGAAATATATCTATTCGATAAATCTATACCTATATCTAGTCCAGTTGATTTCGATATAATGTTAGGTCTGGTTTAGGTTTTATGTCTGTCTTTGAATTTTGGCTTATGATTGATTTTATTCATTTTTAGTTTAGTCGAACTGATGATGGAGCTGGACTTCGAAACGTTTTCAATATCGAAATGGTGAATTTTCTTGACGTTTTCTTTGCTTTTAAATTCCTTAGGACGAACGTATTCGATACTATAAGTTCTAATTTTTTCAATTAGATTTGCTGTCATTGCGGAGACTTTTGAAGAAGGTTCTATCTAAAGAAAAAATTGTTCAAATGTACTACAACTTAATGGGCTTGCTGACTGAAATTTTGCTCCAACTTATCTCAGCCGCCAAAAGAATCCTACAGAAAACACCTTGACGAAGGGAATATTTTTATGCGGTCAGTCAATTTTACCTTGTAGAGGACGGAAGGTCAGGTCTACCATCGCCCTGGCGGTCAATGAAACGGTGTTGGATCAAACTAGGTTCGCTGGCTGTGTTCTCGTGGATGGCCACCATATTGCCCACCTGCAGTGAAAGAAGCATTCAAAATGTCATCTTATTTTGTTTTGTATTTTGCCTGAATAAACAATCGCTAATATGTAATACATGGCTGTAATTGGATAATCAATGAAGTTTCCATTCAAATTCTTGACTACCATAACTAATATTTATTAGCTTGCTTACATCATTATTGAGAAAATCTTCTGCTTATGAAGCTCAGAACGAGCGAAGTGCGGACAAAGACATTTAAGTTTTCCCAGTAAAATTTTCTTTTGTGCGAGTTCTTAAATAATCTCTGGCTACGCTAATGTTAAGTGTTTTATGAATTTTAATTCTATTATTTGTTGGGACAAGCTTCAAGTAGTTTAAATATATGCAAACACATTTAAGTAGTTTTAACTAGGTTAAACATTAAAAAATGCCATTAGAACTTCATACAATTGGAAGAACTGCAGACAGAATTTATAGAGGGACCTGATAAGCTCGAGTGTAGATTTGGATGGTAAAGATTGAGTTTAAACTCAAACGATCAAAGAAAAATTCGTATCTATGATAAACTCTTGTTCGAAGACTATATTTACTCCTACATAGTAATAAATGTAACAGCAAATATTATTTCGTCCTATGTTTACGATGACGGTTTACCTGATTTTGACGGTCGTGTTTGTCAGAGTTGAGCTCATTTTCTTCATTAGCTTCTTTGACGCCAGGGCTTTGGACGCGCGAGTGCTGCCAGAAGCTGTCCACGTGCGGCACCTGGGCTTTTTCTGTTTGACACTTCACGTTGCTCTGCATTGCAAAAAAGCCCAAGTATGGGTTTTTTAAGAACAAAATATATTTAATTCAAGTGTCTTCTCGTATTTGATCGATTTTATCTTGCCAGCAGTAACCGTTCTTTAAATTATTTTGAAATTAGCAAGGAGGGAAAAATTGATTCCCTAAACACAACTCTGAACTTAATCTGAACTCTAAACACAACTATGAACTGAAATCTTTAATTTAATTTAGCTTATTATTGACCAGATTCAATCCAAAATTGACAGGACAACGTATGCGACTTCGTAGTCCTGCTAACTGACCTTTAACATACCCGACTTTTGTTTCCTGATAACTGACCTTTAACATAACCGAATTCTGAGTCCTGATAAGTGATAACTGACCTCCATTATGACGGCCAGCAGCTGCCTAGCAGCAGTCAGGAAAGGTAAGAGTGCGTGCCTGGGCATCTTGATGGCACTGAGGCATTGCGACGGCGAAGGCAAGGCCCCTTGTCGCTCGATGGCTTCACACACGCGCCGTAGCACAGGTCCCACCCACTTCTCCCACACCATCACGCTCACACCTGCGCGTTGTCACTTCAGATAAGGCTGTTGAAGGCATTCGTTGAATTCATGTTATCCAGTTGAAAAGATGGTCGGATAAAAATGAAGAAAGTAATGGTAATTAATAAATCAATTTAACATAAATTTCTATTACTGTAATTTAAAATTTGGAAAAGTGTGGGTGTGAACCGTGGAAGTCGATCACTGTTAACCGCGGCCATTTTTACTCATTTCCTGTGCATTTATTTTTTTACATACCAGAGATGTGTGTACAGCGACATCTGGAGTAAGAACATTTGAGTCTAGCTTTACCGCAGAGGTCGTGACGTTGTGAGGGTTTAGGTTTGAGCGGCTTTGAGTCGGTTGTCAGTCGTGTCCCGCCAGCCCTACTGTGAGGTTCTACCTGAACTCACCTCGCTCTGTTGCTGCACTAGCCATCTTGTGCCCCAACGCTAGTTCTGATGGCTGTGCTCTGGTATTGCTATTTTAAACGTGCTGCTTTTAAAGTGTTCGTTACCGAATGATATATAAATTACCTTTTATCCCAATAAACTGGACTTTCAATGAACCAACTGCAATAAAATGCCAAAGGTTGAAATTTTATCTGACAAGATTGAAGGTTGCGGCAAACTTCCGGTGACATGAGTAATTCACTATTATAGCATTTTAGTCATTAAATGAAGTTGGTTTACTATCTTCAAATGCTAGAAGATAACGAAATAACAACAGTTGATCAATAACTTTAAAAAGCCGGTTGTGTCTAACCTGATGACATAACATGCATTAAAGCAAGCACTACAGACCGTGGCGTACGTGACTGTTGGGGATATTGGCGGCCATGGCAGCAGCGGTGCTAAGCAGCACAGGATCGTGCGCGCTGTGCAACCACGCCGCGGCGCTCTCCCATGCCACGCTCGCTGCCAGGCTAGCGGCGCTCATGCTCTCGGGGAACACTGCGCTCACTTCCACCACGCGTTCTGCTCAAACATAAAACGTTGAATGACTATTTCAACTAACAGTTCTAAATAATATGACTAAATATTGTTACTCAAGTTCTCGGGGAACACTGCGCTCACTTCCACCACGCGTTCTGCTCAAACATAAAACGTTGAATGACTATTTCAACTAACAGTTCTAAATAATATGACTAAATATTGTTACTCAAGTTCTCGGGGAACACTGCGCTCACTTCCACCACGCGTTCTGCTCAAACATAAAACGTTGAATGACTATTTCAACTAACAGTTCTAAATATTACTTAAATCAATCATTACTTTCAATCAGCAGTAACTTGTAAATAATGACTTTATATTGTCACTCAAGTTCTCGGGGAACATTGCGCTCACTTCCAACACGCGTTCTGCTCCGACATAAATATTTGCATCTCTATTTCAATCGACAGTTAGTTACAAATGTGACTAGAAATAGACATTGATGTTCTCGGGGAATACTGTGCTCACTACTTTCACCACGCGTTCTGTTCAAATATAAATCTTGGCATCATTATTTTTATTTGGAGTTAGTTTTAAAAATGATTTGAAATCGGAAACGCGTCGCGCGGTTTCATTATTATAAAAATAGAAAAGATGGTGGCTAACTTAAGAAGGTACATCGAAGTATTGCGTCAAAGATTTGGTGCTCATACTGTATTTGCGTATTATTAGCATGACCTATATTATTAGAGAAGCATGACTTCCTTGCTCTCAGATTATTTTCTCTCACGTTCAGCCACAGCTTGCACCATAGGTCGAACGCTATCCCTGATAAGGGGGCAGCGGTCCTGCATCGGGACGTCCTCGTAATCATGCTTGAGATCACTTTCATATCAGGGGCAAGAGAGCTTCTAAACCAGATTAAACGAAATTTTGTACATGGGTTTTATACTTGCCATAAATAGAGACGAGGTCCAAGTGCGAGTCATTGGGAAAGCTGTTCTCGAGCAAGTTGAGGTGGGCTCCCTCAGGTACATCGTCCTCGTCTATTTCCAGGGCCTCTTCTGCGTAGTCCTGTGCAAAAAAAATCAATACATCGACATGCAAGAAATCACTCCTTAAATCTTAAAGGGTACAATTTCTCTAGGGTAAGAGTAATATTTCTTGCCAAGAAGCTTCTACGAGTACAATAAATTTTTGCATGATATATGGAACTACCTAATTTGTATGGCTTCGATACAAATATTTTAGCTGACAATCGACAGAAATGAATCCGCAACAAAATGGCAGCCTAACATGATTCAGTTTCTTGCAGTGGAGGATGTGAGCGTCGACGGAGGATGTAAGGGAGGCGAGGGCCTCACATGAAAGACCTGTCCTCACAAGCCACTGAGCAACTGCCTCACAAACGCCGCCTGTAAGCAAACACAATTTTGTATACTTCAGCTAGAACGCTATAAATAAAGCAGTAACCTAGTCACTTCTGATGAAATGTAGAAAGTAAATTGTTTCAACCTAACAATATTATTGTTTATGTTGGATGGTGAATAACCAAAAGCATTACCTTTGCCCTTATCTATCATCCTCTTAACGGAGACGCCAGGCGCTGCGGTGGCAGGAGAGCAGAAGTTCAGGAGCCGTTCGAGGGGCAAGAGTCGCTCTAGTTGCTTGACCACGACAGCCCACTCGGTACTCTCGACTGAACAGTCTTCCCACTCACTCAACACGCCGGGATTCTCATAGGAACCTGCCAACAATAGCTTAACCTCCTCTTCAATCTCAGTGAACAAATCCCAGTCAGTTGCTGCAGTGCTGGAAACATTTCCTGATGATAAAGGAGCATCAACTTGGTGAGAATTGTCGCCGAGTTCGTGGGTGGGCAGATTCAAGGAAGAAGCGTTGATGTGATTTGAAACACACGGTTCAGGAGAGACAGTTTGGTTTTTCACATTTGATTCCTCAGCCATCGAGTCTACTCTCGTCTCTGGTTCATTCGTGCTCGTTCCACGTGACTGTTTCAATTGGAGGCGGCGCAAGCGCTTGAGTCTTGCCTCCAATTTCGAGTTAATAAAGCGAGACGCAAGTGCTGTGAGGTAAGCGCCTCTGACGCAAGGCCACGACACCAACTGTGCCCTCACGGAACTCCACCAGGCGTTGCGCTCGTCTTTGCTCTGCGTGACGGATTCCTCTGAAAGAGTGTACGAGATATTGAGATGCCTGTTATCAGGTGAAATCAGACAGCAAATAACATAAATTCTCAAAAGAATTTTTACTAAAACAGAAAGGTTTAGTGATAATCACAATCAAAGCTAATCCTTACAAAACTCAATTTCAGCATACGTTGGTAAACATTGGCGGAAAAGGTTTTTATTCATCAGTAAAAAGTGGCAACGAAGGAATGGAGAATTCTCTCCATTAAAGACACATCACAAGAGTAAAATCACACACCAGTAAGAGAAGCGAGGGACGTAAGCAGTGACGCCATTTTGAGCGTCTCCATCATTCGTTCAACGACTCCTCGATAGGCGTTTGGGCCAACATTCGGGGGCGCGTGAGGCGGGGGAGTGAGAACCTTGACAGGTCCGCCAGAGGTAAAAACGTTGCTTTCGTCCTCGTAGGAAGAACTCCAGTACAGCAGCAGGAGCTTGAGGAGAGACTTGACGTGTACCCCGCTGGCTTTCAGTGAAGCGTGAATGGTTGCAATGTTCTGTTTAGACCACTGCCAGCCAAACAAGAAACGATCTGGGGAGCAAGATAATACGACGTTTAAAAACGAATGATGTAATATATATTCGGGCTATGGCATGCTACGTATAATGTTCGTAATAATGAGGTTTATCACCACCCAATAGTGTCAAATGAAAGAAGTTAAAATTATATCAGTAACAATTCGTAGATTTAAAAGTCATTCTTGACATTTTTTCTTCTGGAAATCCATTTTCTTTCAACAGAGAGAAGATGAATTTGAATACTACGCAATTTGCGGAAAATGATCAATTTAGAACGAACCCTAGAAAAATAGTTCAGGCCATTATTATAACTACAAAATTATTTTACAGCCAAATTGATATTCTTAAGCATGGATGAACACGCGACCTCAGACTAAAATAATTAAAGAACTCACTGAGTGCCGACTTTCTGTCCTTCGAGATGTTGTCTCGTAAAGCAATAGGCAGAGGCTCCGATGAATCAGTGCCCGGTATGGTAGCAACAGCTGCGTCATCGGTAGCACGTAGTGTCGGCGTTTCGATTTGTCTTGAACCAAGACTACTAAAAAAAGGTAAAGACCAAGTGTTAGTTTTCTGGAATATCCTATTCTACATGCACACGAAATAAATAACAGTCCGAAATTTAGAACTTATTATTAGGCAAGAAAATCTGTCAAGTCTTTGTTGAAATGGAGGCTTGGGAAAAATCCATGAATACCATATTTTCCACGTGTAGGCTCAATTTTGCAATATTTAAGAACCACACTTCAACATGGGTGGAGAAACGAGAAAAAGTTTAGTAATAGATGGCAGAACAGTTGATTAGCTTACTAAGACTAATATAAACTTGAACTAATGCCGGATTAAGACACGAGTTCTCTGAAGATTAAGACATGTGTTAACTTCTGACTTCTGGGCTCACTGAAGACTGAGGCAGGAGTTCTCTGAAGAACATTAGGAATAAACTGAAGACTAAAGAAGGACTAAACTGTACATTAAAACAAGAGGCAACTGAAGATAAGGACAGGAGCAAACTGGAGATTACGACAGAAATTAATGAAGAGCGAAACAGGAGTTGAAATAAATACTAATACAGGTGTTAAATAATATAGCGAATTACTTATTGATTGATCTGTCATTGAGGTCTTTGAGGCGAAGCTGGGCCGTGTTCAGGTGCGGCTGGACGCTCTCCTTAACAACGCCCAGGTCGAAGTTTCTCAGAAACCACGCGATGTTCACTCGAAACCGCGGAGCATCATTGCTGAACTTGACCTGATCGGAAAATCATCATAAAATGGGAAATTTATCAATCATTAATCATGTTTTGTTTGTTCAGCGTCAAAGACTTCAAGCGTCCAACTTGATAAACGATGAAATGGAAAAAAAATTATTAGCAACGCAATCGTTTATAGCTGTATTAAATATTATAGTACATCGACCATGCAAAATGTAATACAGCACCTTGACATTCGAAGGCTGTTGTTGCGGACGCATAAGAGGCTCGAGTTTCGAAGATTCCAAAGAAAGACGATGACTCAGTTCCTGCAAATATAGGCAAGTACAGTAAATGAGAAATTTTAATTCCTTCCAATCTAATTATGAACCAAAACAGTTTTTTCTAGCGTAACATTTTTTAGCTAATACTGACGTAGCCAAAATAAAATAATAGTAAATGAGCTATAATCCACTTATAATTCCCATTTATAAGAAACTCAAATGTATTTCAAGAGCAAGGTTTTCCCACCAAATGGTTTGAGTGCTCAATTGATGGTAGTGTTGATCAGGAAAACTACCAAAATAATTAAAACATTGCAGCATGATCATCAGTTGCTAACCACAAATCAAATACACCTCAAACTCAAACACAAATAGATCTCTAACATAAAAAAAAAACAAATACATCTCAAAGTGTAGAAATCTAAATAATATCTTTTTCAAGTATCTTCATCGATATGAAGATCCTTCATTAACTCTGGTAGCTTCATCTTTTTCGTTGTTTATAGCTGCGAACGAGAACATCGAAATATATTATAAGAAAGATCTCTAAAAAGATTAAATAAGAGTTCTAAGAAGTCTATATTTGACGCACGACAGAGCACTTTCTGGAGCATCCTGTCTGTTCTGTTCACAGCTCTTGCCAGATTCTTTTTCGTTGTTTATAGCTGCGAACGAGAACATCGAAATATATTATAAGAAAGAACTCTAAATAAGAGCTCTAATAAGACTATATTTAACGCACGACAGAGACATTCTGGAGGATCCTGTCTGTTCTGTTCACAGCTCTTGCCAGATTCTTTTTCGTTGTTTATAGCTGCGAACGAAAACATCGAAATATATTATAAGAAAGAACTCTAAAAATACTATCAGCGAACGAGAACCTTGAAATACACGATGGTATCTAATTATTTATTAACCCTTTAGCATCCACCTCTCTTGACGGTGCAAAATACCACATTGCGTCCACATTTCTGAAATAAATTCACTGAAAATAAAATTTACCAGGCAATATATATGTTCAGCTGATCATGGCACAGCCTAATAATTAATGGCAAAATATTTGTCCAACTGGACGAAAGAACTTCTTACATAAACAAAAACTCTATTTTGAAAGAAGGTTAACTTATAGCGGATCGGTTAGTTTCGAAACCGCTACAATTCAAGAACTTAGAACGGGGATTATAATACGAATTTGCCGAGGATAGTGTTTTAAGTGTATTTTGTAAAGTATGGAAGTTGCACCCCAAACATTGGCGGATCAGGCTGTTATGATCCTATGGATAACTGAATCTACGAAGAAACAAAATGTCAATCTTTAAGTAGCTCGGATGGTTTGCGAAAAAGACAAATATTCTAGAAAATTAATAAAACTGATAACAGATAAATAGTGTCCCTACAAACTCACGCGGCAAAAGCTGAGGAGCCTCAGGCAGATACAGCGGCCACAAGGCGAGCAGGACGCGATGTAACAGCACAGGCGAGTAAACACTGGGGCAGTGAGCGAGGAAGGAGAGCAGCTGTACACGAGCTGCCGACGTCTGCAGCTGAGAACTTAAAGCAGCTGCGGCATCTTCCTCGCCCCGTTTAACTGAGGCTTTGAAGCTCCTGAAGAGGTGGTAGTCACGAGCTCGCTTGGTGGTGCGCCCTCTGTCAAACGTAAAAGTTAATAATAAATTACTTCTAATCGTCGAGTAAACTTCGTACAGCGAAGGATGGACAAACAATGCAAAATAAAGATAATATTATTGGCTTAAAATCAGTCTTGAAGTCCTGACCTATAGTGCAAATGAGTGATATAAAGTGCAATGTGATAAAACCAAGAATTTAAAAGCAAAGAAAACGCAATTGCGTTTTAAACATTGCGATTGTAGCGGACTGACGATATAAGTACTTTGTAAATAAATATTAGACAGAAACAAGACATTATCACAATCGGCATCAAATTATTGGGTGCCACCGGAAACAAAATTAAGCATACGACAGGCCTATAAGGCTAAATGTGCCTCCGACAATCATTGACGCAACGGACCACGCAGCCTTAGAGTCGAGGACTCACTCGAGGAGAAGATGAAACGGAATCTCGAGACGCTGTAGCGCTCCGTCGGGGGTGAGGAGAAGTACAGAGTGCAGCAACTCGCGCTCCCGACTGCCAAGCATGCCATGGTTCGTGTACAGCAGCCTATTATTACAGAGGAAAAAAATACGTTAAACACACACGTACATATGCGTACTCGCGGTAAGAATTCTTCGACGAGTGTACCGTTAGAAACAAGTACTGTATGTACATTTATCTAGTGTACGTACTTTATTTTATTGAGTTCAGTACTATAAACATTATTTAAATGAATATCTTGTAATCTGTTTACGTGAATTCGCTTATTCATTAATTGATTTTTAAGTGCGCAGCAATTTTTCAAGTTTAAGTTCTTTAAAACGTACTTTAAAAATTGCTAACGGTGTCCGACCAACACAAATATGAACTCATACCTCAATAGCTCAATTGAATCATAACATTAATCATTTCCTAACATCAATCAGCTTCGTTGAACAGCTCGTCGACATGCATGGATGATAGCAACACTATTTTTAAAAACAGTACATAGACTCTTCTCTGAAACAGTATAAGGATTCTCACTCATAAGCACCTTAGAGCATGCTAGGCCATTTTCAGTCGTAAACGGATATTTTAGAGGATTTTCGAAGTCCGATAATAATAAAAGTTCCATCGACAATATTCATAAGGGTTGCTTCTGTTCAGCGATATTTGACTAGGAATATTTTCGGAACTTGCGTCTTGGAGAAAACGGCGGATTACTGTGACTGTAACCAACCGCGCGGATTAAAGGGACTGTAACCAACCGCGCGGATTAAAGGGACTGTAACCAACCGCGCGGATTAAAGGGACTGTAACCAACCGCGCGGATTAAAGGGACTGTAACCAACCGCGCGGATTAAAGGGACTGTAACCAACCGCGCGGATTAAAGGGACTGTAACCAACCGCGCGGATTAAAGGGACTGTAACCAACCGCGCGGATTAAAGGGACTGTAACCAACCGCGCGGATTAAAGGGACTGTAACCAACCGCGCGGATTAAAGGGACTGTAACCAACCGCGCGGATTAAAGGGACTGTAACCAACCGCGCGGATTAAAGGGACTGTAACCAACCGCGCGGATTAAAGGGACTGTAACCAACCGCGCGGATTAAAGGGACTGTAACCAACCGCGCGGATTAAAGGGACTGTAACCAACCGCGCGGATTAAAGGGACTGTAACCAACCGCGCGGATTAAAGGGACTGTAACCAACCGCGCGGATTAAAGGGACTGTAACCAACCGCGCGGATTAAAGGGACTGTAACCAACCGCGCGGATTAAAGGGACTGTAACCAACCGCGCGGATTAAAGGGACTGTAACCAACCGCGCGGATTAAAGGGACTGTAACCAACCGCGNGTTCCTAGTTATATATTGACCATTTACCTTTCCATATCCTAACAGCGTAGCCTGCAGCCACGTCTACGAGCACCACCCGACCGAAGGTGTCCGTGACAGCAACCAAGCGCGGGTCCGGGGAGACCGCTACAGCAGTTCCGCATCTCCGCCCTTCAGGCAAACACCATCTGTATACACCAACACAATGAATAAACATTTGTTATTATGATATCAAGGTAGATACAATAACGTCTTGCATTCAACACACTATATAGTGTGTTGAATGAATGAAAGTCTACTTGTATATTAATATACAAGTAGACTTTCATTCACCCTGCTACTTATATGTATTATATATTACATAAAATACTACTATAGTACTTAGTTTCGCATGAGAGGAAGAGAAGAAATGAATTAATGTCGAGGCAACATCTTGTTTAGTTTCAACGATTCTAAACGCAATATCTTCATATTTAAGAACGGGCTATTTTAATTGCCAACATAAAACTGTACAATAATTCCAAAATTGCAATAAAGTTATTTTGACGTACGTTTTTACTAACGGCACTAACAAATATTGCAAAAAAACTGATAAAAACATTTTGACACTTCATACTTTTCAAGGTCGTAGCTTGTCGAATACTCATCAGTACGAATGGGTATTGCAACACTATTTAAAACTTGCATGAATACTTGAAACTAAAGGCAACAAGCAAATAAGAACTACAGCACCTGGCCATATAACATATGAGGCGACAAGCAAATAAGAACTACTGCACCTGGCCATATAACATATGAGACAACAAGCAAATAAGAACTACTGCACCAAGGCATATAATAAATGATAGTTAAATAGTAAATGCTTTACCTGGCCATATAATAAATGAGAATAAAATAATAATTGTTTTACCTGGCGGCTCCCATGACGCGACTGGTGAGGGCTGAGGCGAGCTGCTTGGCCACGTCCGAGACGTGCAGGGGCGTTGGTTCGTGACGCCCTTTGAACAGCGCCACGTAGGGCTCCTCTCCCGCCGTCAGGAGAGAAACTGCGCTCGTCCTCAAACCTGCATCAGTGACGCAAATGAAATGACCTAATTGTGAGAGGTTATGTAGCGGTGAGCGAAAAAGCAAACAGTTGCAGAGACCAGTAATCGGTTCTGAAAATGATTTTATTTTGCCAAGTTATCAGAAGTAGGATGAAATTGGGATAAAACTTGTAGTAATTTAGGTTCTCTTACCCCCAATGATTGCATCTCTGTTGAAGCCAGACTGAGTTCAGAATTCGGTTCTGAGAATGGTTTTATTTTGCCCCAGTTATCAGAAGTAGGATGAAATTGAGACAAAACTTTGAGTAATTTGTGTTCTCTTACCCCCAATGATTGCATCTCTGTTGAAGCCAGCCTGAGTTAGGGTTGCATGGCTCATGGCATCGTAGAGGCACTCCCGCGCTGACCCCGCGATCCCTACAGACCTGATATAAGACATGAATCAAGCTTAAATGAAACTTGAAAATAAGGCAAGATTAAGAAAGGATCTCTCAATTACAAGCATATTCGATGCGTAAATTGAGCACAGGTACGTGTTGCAGCTTCACAATGGAAATCTTGCAATGAAAGTTGAAAATAAGCCATGATTAAGAAAGGATATCTCATTTACAATCATATTCTATGCATAAAATGAACATACGTTTTGCAGCTTTATAATAGGAATCCTGTAGAAGCTATGTTCCGGTTGTGAATATATTTTTTGCTCCTTCGACTAATTTGCCGATATAAGCATAAATTAGTGTCCTTAGTAATATAATGATATTTTTTGCCGTGGCCTAATCAAAATAAATCTTTATAAGTCTCATAGGAAAGCCTGTGTTGTTTACACAGAATTAACAGAATCTACTTCATCACAGTACTAACCAAGATATCAATTTCAGTGACATGAATTGAATAATTTAGATTCAGTACAGTAAGAAGTTAGTTGAGAGCTTACTTTGTTGCAGCAGACCGGCCTTGCAGGAGCCATTTCTTGTAGGGCAGAGTGGGACTGTGGCCAGTCAATGCACTCACGTCACCCTCGGCACTTGCTTCAGTATTGATATACAAGACAGATAATAATGTTCGTTATTATTGGTAATTATTTTATGATATAGAGATGAATAATGAATCGAATATTTAAGCGCCAAACAATCGCTTTCAGTACGAACTTCAACACCCAGAACGCCAACGCCAGGTTCCTCAAAATGCTTTTGGAGCAACACGACACCATTCTGGAAATTTGGCCAAATGTTTTCATTTAAAACACGAATTTCATGATCAAGAAATGGCGAAGAAAACACCACACTAATAGGAGAAGGTATATAGGATTTCAGGGTTTCAAGCATTGATAATATTGATATAGAGGATATAATTGTACATTAAAACATTGCGTATTACTATCACTGGCATTGATTTGACTATATCATGCTAGTGTCATTAAGGACTGGAAAATTATGATTAAATAATTATTAGCCTGAAGCAATAGAAAGCCTTAACCTCAGTAACACGCTTCACTGTCCAGACATACTTCACTAGAAATTTTTTCCTTTCCTGATAGAAAAAGTTATTTCATTACAAAACAAACATCTATAATAAACCCTGCTACTTTAGTAAATAGATTTCAGTAAATAAACATATCATTTCCAAAAGTTTCAGGTACCTATACCGGTAGAGCCATTTTTTGACCAGTATTCAAGTGCCCAAGTTTTCAAAATAACTAAAGACTGCAAGATCAAACATGGCTACACTAAAAATATATTGAGACTAAAATTCTAATTGCTTTCAAATTTATCTCTATTATTACATGTGCCTTGTTTAAGAACCCTATCGTTCATACAATATCAGTAACTATTTCCAGTGACAAAAGACAGTTAGGCTACGCCCCAAGCCTTTGGGCCAGCAACACATCAGACAAAACTTAGTTACTTGTCGCCTGATAACAGGTTCATGTCGGCTCATGATGAATGAGGAATGGTTTGTCTGTTTTCATGATGAATGGTTTGTCGGTTTTCATGATGAATGGTTTGTTGGTTTTCGTGATGAATGGTTTGTTGGTTTTCGTGATGAATGGTTTGTCGGTTTTTGTGATGAATGGTTTGTTGGTTTCTGTGATGAATGGTTGGTCGGTTTTCATGATGAATGGTTTGTCGGTTTTCATGATGAATGGTTTGTTGGTTTTCATGATGAATGGTTTGTCGGTTTCCGTGATGAATGGTTTGTCGGTTTTCATGATGAATGGTTTGTCAGTTTTTTTGATGANTTTTCGTGATGAATGGTTTGTCGGTTTTTGTGATGAATGGTTTGTCGGTTTTCATGATGAATGAGGAATTGCCAGGAAAGCACCCAACCTGTGTTAGCCAAGCAACAGATCCAGCTTGTGTACACACGAGGATGCAAGTAAAGTCTGGAGCCCCAGCACTGCTGCGCTGTAGTGAGCTGATAGGCAGGCACATGACGGCGCTGATGTCTTCACTGAAATGCAAGTATCATCTCATCATCACCATCGTCAATATGTGCAAAATGCATATGAGAAAATAAGTAAACTTATACGTAATTTCATGCAGGTTGAGTGTTAATTAAGGAATAACATGGATAATGGATTATGATAGAAAATATCCAGTTAATAATTTTATTGCATACAATCACTGAATTGCAGATCATTTGGCCAAATTCCTATTCATACAATGGAAGAGATGAATTTATTTGAAGCTATCATTTCCTTAAATCATTTATCAAGCATGGCCCAAACTAAAAAATAATCTTAAAAATAAATTATCACATGAAAACAAATTTTAAACTGACGGACACACGCTGGGAACACCTCGCCAAGCTGGCCGCAAAACAAGCTGTTCTTCAGCATCTTCAGGAACTTCCCAAGAACCTGTTGAATAAATTCACATTCATTTTCATGCAAAAACAGGTTCATTATGCACTTGAGTAAATCAAAATTTAAATGCATTTATATAAAAAGTGGAACCTTGGATAATGAATGAACAAAAATTTAAAATAACCAGGAAGTATTTAACTAAAATTTCAGGTTGTGTCTAAATCACAGCAACCCTGGCCATCTATGAGTATCCTGCACAAATCTTGCAATAGGCTCAGAACAAGTTAACTTTGATTGTCATTTATTTTTATAGGGAAATTAGCTCTGCCCAACAAACCACCTTCCTTGAAGTATACACGAGTTCATCTTTTAAGGCACACAGATAGTCAAAAATTACTATAATATCAAATCTGATCCATATTTTTGATTCTTCAATATTTTAAACAAAAACAAAGAAAATAAATTGTAATTTACTCAAATGCTCAGCAGATAACATCAGAATCCTTACATTTTTTGAATAAGGATAATGATGATAATAAAATAATCAAATCTATATTTACATGACAAAAAAACATGATGCTATGAGCCACTTACCTGTTAGTACACAAAGCTTCCTCTCCCTAGCAATGGCCATCACGTCTCCAGTGGGACTGACAGACACCTTGCACTCATTGAGCCAATTTGCTTCACTCCCAGCCTTGTCAGCTGCTTTTCCACCTAAAGAATTAGAAAAAAATACATCAGAAGAAGGAAATAGAAATACAGATATTACAACTAGCATAGTTCAAGAAACTAGAAGCGTGCAAGATGGTTGCAAACACTAAGAAAGCAAAATAGTGCATAAAAAAGATAAATGTAAAAGGCAAATAATGGCTAAGCTAACAATGAACAAATCAATTACCAAGAATTCCAAAAAGACAAAACTACTAAATAGCAACAGGTGGATAGCAAAAAGCAAGGTTCTAGAAGAGAACTGATTAGGAACTATTGAGTTTCAGATAAAAAACTAATGCAATAAGGTTCTTGAATTATAATTAATGGAGCTTGCATAAAAATACAACTTTGAAAAATTCAAATTGTCCAAAATATAATAAAAGATTCAATTATTATTATAGCAATGAATTAAAAATGATTAAAAATACACTGGAGTAAGACAAAAATGATTAATTTCTATAGGAATATGAAAATTTAATTTCACTGAAGAAAAAAAATCATACAAAATATAATATAGCCACCTGGAATCTATAGAGCGCATTTCTTTGTAAACTCAAGTGAGAAGATACCTTGGAAGCTACCATGCAAAGCTTTGAGATTGTAACAATGATGAGAATCATTCAAAGAACTAGGTTGATCTAGAGGATCCCAGCTACCCCAGTCATCTGTCCAGGCAGAATCTGCAAGAAAAAAGCTAACAGAAATGAAAATTGTGCAAGAAATGTAAGCTGTTCAAGTGTGAGATGATAAAGGTTTCTAGAAATTTCTGGTAAGAGGTATGGGATGGCAAATAAAAAATTATTTTATATAAAAAAGCACAGCATTTCAAAAACAGGGACTCGAGCTTCATGTGAGAAATCCATGAATGCTCTGAACTAAAACTGAGTGTTTTATTTTTACCACTCAAACAATATAAATGTATTCATGCATGAAGTATTTTTGTTATTTCAACATTGACCAATCTATATGAAATCTTTTGGCACAGGAATAATTAAAGAAAGATAAAAATTTATCCTCACTGCAGAAAGCAACAGTAGGTTACTCATCCTTTCTCAATAACTTTGAACTTACAAAACACCTCATATAAATTTTAATATCATTTTAAAAAAATTGGAGGTCAAATGAAGAATATATTAAAATTTGAGTTGTATATATATTTAAATGAACCAACCTGGAGACCATATCCAAAAAGATGCACCTGATATGCTCATTCTGTAATATCAGGCAGAAGCCACTTGTGAATCAGACAAAAAATGCCTGTGCACAAAGTCAATTTCAATGTTTTTATAGCTTTTGCCTAATTCCTTGAAAAAAGAAACTAGGAGACCCATTTTTGTTTGCATATTTTTGAAAACTGATATTAAAATAATTAAAGTTTTCACTGGCAATTTTTTTTAAAATGTTGCCCAATATTCCAGATTGCTTCTCTGCTGCAATTGGTTAGCTTAATTGATGAAATATTGTCCAAGAGAGTAAGGCAGAGAGGCCTGATCAGTGCAAAAAAATTTCCCAAAAATAATTCTTTTTGGCTTGGTTGACAGCAGAGCTAAACTTATCAAGTTTAAACTTGGGGAAATTAATTTTTATTTTGATCTTTCTCTTTAAAGGAACTCAATAGATTTGTCAGGTTTTTACTTTTTAGCCCTAGTGACATAGGGCACATACAGATTCTCAATCCGGCAATAACAAAGGTAACAAGGACGAAAAATAACAATATGTAAATGGAAATATTCAACATGATCTATGGTATATTATAAAAATCCGACACAGGTCTAAATACAGGAATTGGGCACAGTTATTGTCAATAGAATGGAATAACTTTTGATATAATAAATCAGGACTCAAGTCCTGATTTATTTATTTAATGACTCAAGTCAACCTTGAGTCATTTACCCAGGACTCAAGTCAGTAAAATGACTCAAGGTAGAACAAGGATGAGGCAGTGGACTATTGAGTAGTTCTTACTATGGCAAGGGCTGATTCAAGATTCCCTGAAGGGTGTCATGTTGTCATTAACTTCTAACTTACTTTAAGCACTATCCTAGAATTCAAGACTGAGCAGGCATAATTTCTGAAAATTGCTGTAAAAATGATTGTCTAATTATCATAAAAAAATAACATGCATAATGACATTTTTTGCTTTTTTTCTTTGATAAAAATATACTAGGAAAGGGTCAAAATAATGGATAAAATTAACAATAAGCATAGGTCTTTTTGTCTCAATTATGGGTAGCTTCTGCAGTTCTGCTTTTGCCTAATTTTCCACTTTGGTACTCTTAGTTATAAGTTGCCACAAAATATTGAGCACATGTACAAAACGTTTTTAATTGAGTTTAATCTATAATTACGTAAATCATTATACAAATTTACAAGATTTGGCATAAGTTTAGTAAAATTGCAGCATTTGCAGATAAAAATATTTGTTTCATTTCAATTTTTGAAAATGGCAGATAAAAATCCCTTCATCTTTATTTTTCACCAGAGAAATTGAGAAAAAGCTTTAGACACAGGTGGAATAGGCAGGATTAATAATAGAATTTTGTCTGATTAGTGGCTTCTGCCTCATTTTCTAATTAGGCCATTACCCATGGTATTTTCAATTATGTGCAATATCAAACTCAAAAATAACAAGATTATTGTTGGATATTTTAGCATCTCATTTTATACTAGCATCTTCTTTTCATAAGGCAATACCGTAATAATACCGTAATAGACTTTGTAGTTTGATTGACCCCTCCTCAAGTTCATTTTTGAGTCCTATATATAGACCAGTGATTGCAGTGAAGTATCATGGATACCATCATACCAGCATTATCATACATAAGAAATTGGTGTAAATCTTGAGTAGATGAGGAAATTAAAATGAACTGATACAAAAAAATCTATGGTTTGTCACCAGACAGTCAGACACCAATCACCATGCCATGCCACTGTTTTACAACTACAGCCACAGCCCACAGGCACAGCATCAGCATGTGCACCAAAACAACATGTATAATAGTATAAATGTGTAGTATAGTAGTACATGTATAGTATAGTATAGTATCTTTGGCATTGCAGAATAGGCCTGGATAGGCCTGTTGCCAATTCTTGTATTTTTCTTGACTAGACTGGCCTTTTGATCAAATATTTTTCAACGGTTGCTACATTTAAAATTATTCTTAGATTTCAGTTGTACTGTAGGATACAAGGCATTTCAAGACTATTTATATAATTTGCTCTTGCATGGCCTTGTCTAGTCTGTTCTTGAACACGATCATACTCAACAATATCTTCAGGGAGGCTGTTCGGGCTGCCTGTTCCACATGTCAGTGATTCGAAGCAAGAAGAAATGTTGCAAATAAATAATGCATCACATGGATATAATGTATATAATATATAATAATGTATATAATATATAACTTGACCATCAATCATAGTGGCGTGGCAAAGCAGAGAGTTTTTTAGACTCTCCCTCAAGTTCATTTTTGAGTCCTATATGTAGACCAGTAAAGTATCCTGGATACCAGCATTATCATACTTAAGAAATTGGTTTAGTTTTTTGTTGCATTGAGATTTAATTTCTTTTGATAGTATTTTTGAATACTATGCGTCTCTATACATAATTTAAATCACTTTTCCTGTTAAGTTTGTGTACTTACATGCATTAAAATACGATTTTTCAAGTGTACGAATATTAATTTCCCCCCACTGTATATTATAGTATCTTTGGCATTGCAGAATAGGCCTGGATAGGCCTGTTGCCAATTCTTGTATTTTTCTTTACTAGATTGGCGGTGGCCTTTTGATCAAATATTTTTTCAACGGATGCTACGTTTAAAATTGTTTTTAGATTTCAGTTGTTCTGTAGGATACAAGGCATTTCAAGACTATATACGGTATATGATATGCTCTTGCATGGCCTTGTCTAGTCTGTTCTTGAACACGTTCATACTCAGAGTGTCAAGTGACGTCAACAATATCTTCAGGGAGGCTGTTCCACATGTCAGGGTACTGACTAAAACCTGGACCCGGACCGGTCCGGCGGACCAGGTTAAAAAAAATAAAAGGCTGCAAATCATCTGAAACGTCAAGAAAACTTTTAATTTTACATATAAAATTTTGATATTTACTTTGAACAATTTTGTCGCACCAACGTATGAGGGTCACAGAAAAGTTCATTTCTCAATCAAACTAATCGATGGAGAATGTTCTGAAACGTCCAGAAAACATGAAACTTTTGTATCAAATTTTTGAAAATTTACTTAGAAAAATTTCACTTCAGGTCCGGGGAGCCCCGGACCAAGTGACTAAAACCCAGACCCATATATTTGGGTCACAGAAAAGTTCACTTCTCGATCAAACTAATCGATAGAGAATGTTCTGAAACGCCCAGAAAACATAAAACTTTGGTATCAAATTTTCAAAAATTTACTTGCGATTGTGTTTACTTAGCTTTGAAAATAATTGAAATTATATGATTCGTCTTTGACAATGAGTCATGAAACTCATCATTTTGTATCACTGACTCCAAAGTTCACATGTTGTGGGGAAGAACTCAAGAAGGTCCCACAACGAACTATGTTTTGATAAGATTCTCAGTACAGAAGTTTAATTAATTCATGCATTATTGGTAACTTTTTACATTACATATTATAGCTTTGGCCTAGCATAAATGCTGCAAAAATCTTCAGTTAACTAATTTATGTTTCACTTTTTTTACACTTGCATATATCAGAAATATTTTCTTGAATAAAAAAATTAAAGAACTGCAAATTCCAGCCAAACCAATCATAGCTCTGTTTGTGTCATGCTTCTTACCCGTGTTTCTTGTCGGTTATATCATGACTTGAGACCACAAATGACACCCTTATAAAGGATCATCAGGCACCAAAAAATATGCAATTAAGATATGTCATTATGATTTACCGTTTACGACCGCAAACTTCCTGGTCAGCGGGGTTAACAGCCCATGGATGTTGTACTCATAATTTATTATAAATTTAGTAGATAAACATAAACATGCAAGTGGTTAATAACTGGGAGCGGTGATTGAATGTTAATACCAATGATCTTATCATAGCTCGAAATTATTAACTATCAGTTGTACAAGACCCCTTCTTATAAGACGTACAAAAAATAATGTATTATAATCTGATACTTCCATGTTGATATGTGTAACTCTACATAAGATTCCAATTTGTCTTATATTTATTTATATTTAAAATTTCTCAATTGTCTTGGTCTTGTTTACTTGTTTACTGCTATCATGGCAAATATGAACAATAAATAATTAGCAACGTATAGCGTTCTATTAATATTGAACGTATTCTCCCTATTATTAAACGTTCTCAGGAATGTTACCACCACACGGCTCACGCTTCTTGCTATGTTTGTACATCGTGCACTTGAACACAAGATTGATTTATGACATAAGCTTGAGAGCCGCAAAGTGGCATGTGCTTCTCAATGTGTTAATGTGGTCACCAAAACAACCTCTCTATAATAGCAAATTTTGCTTCATGGGGCAAACACTTTGACTGCAACTTTCTGACATGCCATTAAAAAAAATTTCTTTCAAAAAGTCAATTGTACTGTAAAATAGTAATTTGTTGCAGTACCGTATATCGGATAGAGGCAAGGCATAGTGACAAACCAGAGATTTTTTAGAATCAGTTCATTTTTAATTTCCTCATTTACTCAAGATTTAAACCAATTTCTTAAGTATGATAATCATAGTGACAAACCAGAGATTTTTTAGAATCAGTTCATTTTTAATTTCCTCATTTACTCAAGATTTTAACCAATTATTAAGTATGATAATGCTGGTATCAATGATACTTTACTGGTCTACTTATAGGACTCAAAAATGAACTTGAGACAGAGTCTAAAAAACTGTCTGCTTTGTCACTATGACTGGCAAGGATCACAATATTTTTCAATGTACTTAATGCAAATTGGCCTGAGTTTGATCATGATGAAATGTCTTCAAAGTGGATTTATGAATCCCACTGTGCAGAGAGTGAACGAAGATTTAAAGACCTATGGCGACGCATTATCGGCAAAATTTTCGCCTTCAGAAGATCTTGCCGACACATTTAGATTGAAATTCTTGCATTTAATATATTTCTCAGTCTTCAGCCAACTATTTAGAAAAAAAGTAAGGTTTCCGGTACGTTGGATGGATAAATTACCCGGCGACGCATCTTTAAAATGGCCAGCGACGCTTTGGGCTTAAAAATCCATATATTGCCGACGCTGCATCCACCCTCTGCATAGTGGTATGAATCTTACTTTTGCACTCGAGTATTAAGCGAATTAATGAACTGAAGGCAAATGCTAACTCGTTATATTCTTGCTTGCACCGTAGCCCAAAATTAGCATGAAGCAAGCTTGGTTAAATTGTTATTGCAGAATAACAAAGTTTAGATTGAATTAATGTCATCTCGAGACTAATTTCATTGTTAGTGTGATACTTCAATCAATATGAATTCAATAATACTTTGAATAATACTTGACCAATAATACAAGTTTTAGGCATTCTGGCAGGATTCTGAGAAGGCTTCTCATAGACTCATAGAAATGATAGGAGCATCAGTTCAGCCCAAGCAGTTTATTGGATTTAGGTATTAACTTGCATTTTGGTATGTCTACAAATAATTGGAATGATTTGAATTCGTCATTGTAATAATAAGAGTGTAAACTGAATCATTTACATCCCATTCATTAAAAGTTCGATAACGTTAAATGAGTGGACAACGACTGAGTTTACCTAACACCCGACGTTTGAGATGACGATCAAAATATAAATCGGGACAGAGCCAATGCTGAATTTCGTAGCTAACATCTACGTGAGCAATAGTACCTAAGCTGCTCGTCATTATGAAATAAGAAAGAAATTCAGTAATGGTAGAAGACAACTAGCTAATGTTCTACCACATGCACAATACTTGACATTTCCTTGTCAATCCAACAGCTGACATGGCGGAAATATCGGAAGGTTCGGTTGCGCGGATTATTGGTTTAAGTGGTCAAAATGAAGCCCCAAATCATGGTTGAGAAGCTTCCCCGAAAAAAAGTATTTTTTTATGGCTGGCTAGTAGAATTTTTACCTTGCTGAATGATTGAAGGTAATGACACGATGCAGCTACAATTATTTGAAACAGAATAGAAACAAAAAATATATATACTCGTTTACTGAAATCCAGGCTCAACCTTTTGGACTAAGTGAATGAATTCATTAGCGGAAGCCGTTCTGCACTAAAATTACAACCCATTAATACAGGCATTCAAGTAGTGCCTCTTATGATGGCTCAATGTAACATATCAAAAGCTATAATGTAGAAATAATTCCAACGAAGTTATTGTTTGAATTTCTTTCAAAATGGCAGAGAATTCTTACTCTAATCAGGTGTGGGATAAGAATCTTAAAGGGTCTAACATAAACCAGCATCCCTCAATCGTTTTTTTAGTTCAATTACAGGCCCGTCAAAAACACCACACTAGGAGACACTAATTTTTTCTTGAGCTGCCGACACAGTAGAGCAACCCTAATGCAGCATGAACACAAAAAAATAACACTAGTTCCTAAATTAACCAACGAAGTAACGATACGAACTTGTTCGTTTGACGTTTTAAAAACACTAATTTGGAAAACTAAAATGCCGCCTCGGAAGGTTGTCAAATAATAACTTAGTTAGAACAAACCAGAATTTAATTTATGCAAATACCAAAATAAGGCAACGTTACATTACACGGAGGACATCCCTCTTAAACCACGAGTAAGTCTTCTAGACCGTTTAAGCCCAATTCTACACGACACAACAATATAGACGTATTTTGTTAACAAAACCGGAACAGTGAGAAAACAAGGCGATAATTTATTATTATATTCGGCCAAGTTTGGGTGCACGCGAAACTTTTTGGTGACCTTTTAGAAAGGATTGACAATTAAAACCAGTTTTTGGAAGCTTTGACTACAAGCGTCGTGGATAACAACATCGTCATCCACATGATCCTAACAGGCGAAAAAATCTGTCTAGAAGGAATGTAGCTTTAGTTAACAAAGTATTCGTAACAATACCAATTCAATTGTCTGGATGCTGGGTGCATGCTACATATAAGGTACTTGGGCCATTGAGCCCCTTTGCACGGTGCATAGTCTTTCATCAAATGAGTGACAGAGACCAGGCTGGGCAGTGCACAAGCACTGGAAGCCTCCAAAACCAACTATAAAAAAAAAAAAAAATCGTAACAATACGATTCAGATGTAAACAAAAATTCAAATAGTCTTTACCATCCATACTAAGCTTACAAATAAAAGTTCAGAAAAATCTATACTTTGTGCGAGCTGAAACGCAGCCTATCCTTAACGAACTGAAGCTGCAGTAAAAAATATATTGCACATGGAAAGATTAGAATAATAGTCGATGAATAATTGACTTTGAATCCAGTTGTATATTGGTGAAGTTTTCTAACAAACGTACTAATTCCAAAAGTGAAAGATCCTGGCCCATAATAGACTCCCTGGCCCCTTCAACATGTATACGGTGGAAGGATGCTGATAAACCACGCTGAGTTCTCGATTCATAACACTGTTAAAATATACCCTGATACCTCTTTGTCAAGTAGACACAATCGGCCACAGCGAGCTTATCTTAAATGAAACCTATTGCTTAATATTACAGGTGGCGTCTACCCAGACTGCATTTCAATCAAGTGCGTTTCTAGGAAGGTGAAGGCACAAATTGCATAGGTGACATTCTAAGGCCTAGAAACTACAACACATTAACTTGCATTTTTGACACGAAAGAGGTTGAGTTATAATCAAACTCTTGCAACAGTTACCAATTTAAACAAGTATTTTTTGAAGTATGTAAATTCATAGATTAATTTCTTCGAACTTGACCTCACTAAAACATTTTACGTATTGCAGGTTACTCGCCAATGCAAATAAGAAGGATTAGGGAAAGAGGAATAAACAGGGTGTTCTCACATTTGGCGACGTATAAACAAGTGGGTAAAATCAAATGCCAATTTTTCTGTCGCTTACATGTCCCCTAGAAGGATGAAGGACAGGTCAAACTAAAATTAGGACGATTGTTCCTCTTTGAAGTACATAAACTCAACGCCACAAGTGCGGATTTCATCAGTGTTTCGAGGCAACAAGTCTTGAGCTGCATAACTACACCCACGAACCGTGGTGGAAGACCGAGATATGAATAAATTCAACCGAGATATGAAACAACTGAGCACTAGAACGTATATCAAGCATTAGCTGCATTAATAGCGAACAACATGCACATGCACTATCTATAAACACAACGGGACTATGATACTTGCTAAATAAAGAAACAATCCTGTAATTATGATTTAATAGGTATCATTACGCAAAGTAATTCAATGGAAATAGGATCAAGAAGGGAAGTAAGTGAGGCATGAGCTAGTGAAGCACTAGCAATAAAAATAGCAAAATTTAATAAAAGTAACAACAATTGTCGTATCGTGGAAAATAGTTGACATTAATAAGTTATGAACGATGATTACAAAATTTAAAGGCAGAAGTCAAAAAAGTAAGAAATATAAGTACTATATAACCTCAGATTTCAAAGAACTGTCAATCATTTGAAGGAAAAATAATGTTCAGCAAATATAAATTTGCAGGCAAAAGCGGGAATCAGTTAGCCACACGTTAAATAAATATAGGTATATCTTCTAACGATCAACACAAGGAACAAGCATGCACATAAAACTAATAGCTAGATTATTTTGCACGATGAATTCCAGCAGTTCATTCGCAACTGAAATAACTCAAGCAAAAGATAGCAAATAAGATCATAGTGCAAAATCAGGGAGGCTGTCATGGTATTAGATAGAACATAATAAATGCATACAAAATTTTATCAACGCTGATCCTCGAGTTGGGCTGATAGTTAAAACAACACTATGGATATTTCTCAGTTTGCTTCCAACTAGACTCATGCTTCAACAAATTTGGGTCAAAATATTTCTAGAGGTCACAAATCCAAAAACAATCTGGCTATAAATGGAACTAAATAATTTTTCCCTTGCCTCGTCTTATTAAAATAGCCCGATAACTTCTTTCATTAAGATATTTATTGTTCTTATGAATGCGATCCTATGTATAACTCGATCCATGATGTCTTCTTTCAGATTTGTTCAAGAGATTTTTTTATTTTGCATAGATGCACTATGAAGGAAATGCAAGAAAGCTCGTAAAATAAATGAAAGTGCACAGTAATTCTTCAAAACAGAACATCGACAAGTAGACTGCCAAATCATAATGAATAGTAATACAAAGCTAAACTTCGCAACAGATCTTCAGAACAGAAATCATCGCATAGACTGGAAAACTAGAGACCATTTCACACGGCAATTTAATTAATTTAGAGACCATTTAATTCCCAAATAAATGCTCCTCATTAAGAGTACTGCAACACGGAATTTTCGAGGGTACACAAGCATCATGGTTGGCATGATGACAAATATACATTCATCGAAATTAGCGATGATTTGAAGCGACTATTGAAATACTGAATGAAATGAAATGTATTGTAATTGGAATGAAGTTAAAAAATAAAATTGCAATCTATGGATCAATACTCTTGAGGAGGAAACCAGAACACATAAAACATTATAAACCAGTTATAAAAGATTTGTGTTCTAAAAAAGATGGGATGTGTGATAAGTGATTAACATTAAAACCGTGACTGGAAGAACTGGAGCGAAATCAGCCTTAACACAAAATACCTGCAAGTAATTTGTCATTCGCAAAAAAAAAACAAGTGAATATTGCACAGCTTCATTTCATTTTACATCATTAAAATTTAATATCACCACAAATATCAACAGTGTAAACACGCATCTCAGAAATTATGCAGTAATTTTGTATTTCATCCTATTTCATGATAAATCGCCGTCAACTGTTGACAAAGATTGTTTACCACTTGATGCTGTCGGACTTTCAGGAAGGCTCGTGATTGGTATAGTGGAAACAGCCAGTTGTGTAAGGCTTTCAATGCTTTAGCTCCAGACATCTGAGGAGTAACGCTTCTTCTGGATCATTGTCTTGACGTAGTCCTCGGCCTGCTGTTGAGTCATGTCGCCTTCCTTGCGACAGATGTCGATGATGGTCAAGTTCACTTCCCGAGCCATGTTCTTGGCGTCACTGCAGACAATTTTGAATATTAAAAAGGTGAAGGCACAAATTGTACAGGTGACAGGTGACATTATTGAAACTTTCATGTAGCTTTGCCGAACGAGATAATCTAGTAGAGTAGATAACATAGTATATAGTAGACATGAATAGATAATGTATTATACAGTAGATAATGTATTATATAGTAGATAATCGGTGATAGTAAAAGAGCCTTTATGCAGCGTGTATGAGCGATTTGAAGGTCGTGACCGGAGTTCAGCACGCATTCAATTCCAACCACTTCGAGTTGCAATCCATGTTTCAAACCAAATGACCAAGCATAAAAAGTAATAAAATAGTTTGTTCCTTTATAGCGCATTTTCTCATTTATGGAAAAAATGCACTATTGTGCTCGCCATGTCCGTCTGTCTGTCTGTCCGTCCTTCCGTGACCTCAAATTTTTGTCGAAGAGAGAATGCGCTCTCTATCACTCACTGCACTGAGTACTGAGTTATATTTTTTTCAAATTGAGCCACAGATATGAATCGCTAACATAACCGAGATGATATCTTTGCGCCCAAAAGCCCGTAATTATGAAAGCACTTACCCGCAGACGTAGAGATGACCATTCTGTTTACCAATGAGGTCCCAGACGAGCGCAGCATCTTGAGCAAGCAGGTGCTGCACGTAAATCTTCTCTGGCTGGTCACGGCTGAAGGCTAGACGAAGCTTCACGCCAGAGAAACAAAAATCACTAATGAGACCATGATTATAGTTCTTTTGAAGAGACACAATTACAACAGCAATTTGAAGACGATCGTGGAGCCAAGTTGCCAGAGAGGGGTACAAATATCATTGCATTTCCATAAATGGTTCTAGAGGAGACAAAAAATTTTTTCTGAATAATAGGTTATTCCGAAAAGCAGCATTATTTCAAGCCTGAAATCATTGTATTTAAAAAGAGAAACTCAATCTAGAAATAGAACCAAGGATAACAAGACATGAAACTTACCGTGACAAGACCGGATTTTTCGTACTGCTCAAGTTCCTCCTGGTAGATGTAGTCGTGAGCTTTCTGGCGGCATCCGAAGTACAGCAACATTTTGCCCACACTGCCGTCTATAGTGACACAAATTTCATTAGTTGCACGCGTTTTTACCTTATTCAAAGCAGCATTAATAAATCATTATTTAATTGGAAAACTAGTTAGAGTGAGTGAACTTAAGATACCCTAGATAACATTAACCCAAAGTTTGTTCAGGGACACACACACCCAAGGCCATGCTGTAAGCACCACCTTTCTAATGGCGACCAAGCGCCGTGCAGCAGCGACACCGAGAAATCAACTGAGCTTCCCAAGCAACGAACCCTCGCCTAGCTCCACTCATCTCGGTGCTGCCATCACTGCGCATACAGTGGCGCTAACCACTGCGCTACAGTGACTCTTTACTCAATATGGTATACTAGTGAGTAATAAGTGCACTATTCATACGTACAAGTCCTCTAAATTGGGACAATCTAAATCATGAAAATATCAAATTTACTTCATCATTATATATTAAATAGGGATAACACCATTTTTGAACGAATTTTTTACTGGTTTAACTCAGCATTAAAACTCGCCCACAATTTCCAACAAGATATTTGTTCGCTTATAACTGATGTTGCAGTAAGTGAGGCTAAGACTGAACATACATACCTCTCTTGAAAGCGACGTCTCGTTCCTGCAGGAACCCTCTGAAGGGCGCGATGCCCGTGCCAGGGCCGATCATAACCACGGGCACCTCGCTCTTGATGGGCAGTCTGGAAAGAAGGTGAAAAACCTGCATTTGAAACGTACATGGTTCCTTAATAATTTTGTATTTTGGTCTCATTCGGTGAGCCCACATGGAAATTTCAGTTGAATCAAGAGTCATTTTTGTGCTTCGATTTTGCTGTCTGAGTGAAGATGTAAAACGCTGGATATTCCATGCATTAATTTGTGTGGTTGGATTAGTCTCATTTGGCAAAGCTACATGCAAGTGCCAATAAAGTAAGGGTTATTTTTGTAGTTTAACTTTCCTTTATTATATTGGAAGACAACTTACGGATTTGTCTAATAGAGTGATGGCGACCATCAGCGACACCAAGAAATCAACCGAGCTTCCCAAGCAACAAACCCTCGCCTAGCTCCACTCATCTCGGTGCTGCCATCACTGCGTGTACAGTGGCGCTAACCACAGCGCTACAGTGATTGGTTACTCAATGGGGTACACTAGTGAGTGATAATTGCACTATCTATACGTACAAGTCATGTAAATTGGTGACAATAGAATTCATGAAAATATTGAAATTACTTCATCATTATACATTTAATATTGATAACACCATTTTTGAAAGAATTTTATACTCATTACTGGTTTAACGCAGCGTTACGACATGACCACAATTTTTCAATAAGATATTTGTTCGCGTACTATAACTGATGTTGCAGTAAGTGAGTCTAGGACTGAACATACCTCTCTTGAAAGCGACGTCTCGTTCCTGCAGGAACCCTCTGAAGGGCGCTATGCCCGTGCCAGGGCCGATCATGACCACGGGCACCTCGCTCTTGATGGGCAGTCTGGAATGGAGGTGAAAAACCTGTACTTGGAATGTACAAGATTTCGCAAATGAATTTGTATTTTAGTCTCATTCGGTGAGCCCACATGGAAATTTCAATAGAATCAAGTGTCATTTTGGAGCTTCAATTTTGCTGTCTGGGTGTAGATGTAAAACGTTGGAGATTCCGTACATTTATTAGTGTGGTTGGATTAGTCTCATTCGGCAAAGCTACATGAAAGTTTCAATAAAGTAACGGTTATTTTTGTAGTTTAACTTTCCTTTATTATATTGGAAGACAACTTACGGATTTGTCTAATAGTCTGAACCCCAAACAATTGTTACTCCCCAATGAATAAAATGACATTTTATTCTTAATACTGCAAATATCATTTCCATTTTCTAATGAAAATCTTTTTCAAGCAAATGAAATTCAAATCCACATAAAAAAATCAGCATTTCGTTAAAAACGAAACAGTGAATTCCCAAGGTACTCTATCGATATCTCACTTGTTACCTATTGGGATTTTCTTTACCTGAATTGAGACTTCCTGACGAAGATGGGCACAGTGTACTGCTGGTCTTGCGTTGGCTGACGTGCCATGAGCCAGTTGGTGGCGACGCCTTTGTTGATGCGCTTCGTGAGAGTCTCGTACTGCAGCACCACGGCCGTCACGTGCACGCTGGACGGGTGCTCCTGGATAAATCAGCCTATATTATTCAATTAGATAATGACTAGTGAAGGAACGCTAATCTTGGCGAACAAATCAGTAGTAATTCAGGTAATACTGAAATAAATTGGGAATAATTATGTGACTACGTACAAGGGTAACATGCACATAGTTGAGATGATATAAATATAATTAGCGTCCAACTTTGCAAGTAGAAAAAACGATGATAAAATGATCGTATAAATACAGGCTGCTCCGAACCTTAGGAGAGGAAGATATGGAGTAGTAGCGGGCCTGTAGACGGGGTAGCAGCTCACAGAGGTAATCAAGGGGCGGCCGACAAGAGGGCAAGTCCTCCAGGACGTGACTCACGGTCCTGGCGCTCTTCACCACCCACTCCTGGTACGCGGCGCGGCCCTCGTCTGTAGTGCTCGTCATCAGCACCAGTTGCTCCCTGTCCTGCATATGTAAGGAAACACCAGATGCATACGCTCATCAAATCCTATATTCCTATATCTGTTTGATAATAAAGTTGATCATTAATAATGTTTACTGCAGTTGCCATAACCTGCATTTGGAAGAAAACGCACACGAAATGCACACGCTGTTCAAACCCCACATATGTTTGAGAATAAAAATTTCAAGTAATAATGTCTACTAAAAGGCCTTGAATAGTACAATAAAAAAACAACTGCAAGAAATTTTCATAATATCACTATCCTTGAACATCCTAAACATTTGCACTTAAACCATTACGTATTGATAATCCCATCAATTTCAACCCTTTACAAATCAAACAGCAGAAACGTGATAGGCTCAACACGCAATTTGAGTGCAGTGTATTAGTCAGACCTTCTCATCAGAAGCGTATTGGATGAACTCCTTGAGGACGTGTGTACGCGGAGGTGAGGTGATATCAACGTAGTGAGACAGCGCCGTGCGGTAGCTGCAGGGGCATGGAAAAGGCGACCGCTTGCTGCTGAACTCATCGAGGTTGGTGAGCATGAAGACGGTGTCAGGGTCCTTGCCAAGCATTGAACACAAGCCCTCCACCAGCTCAGGGTTGTTGCACGAGTAAACTGCCACGTGGTCACCAGCATCATATCTGCACAAGCAAATTGTTCATAGTACGCGGCCAAGTGTTCACCATCATCGTATCTGTGCATGCAAAATGTTCAAAAGTGTGCATGCAAAATGTTCTAAAAGTGAGCTTTTAGAATTTTATCAAAAGTCCTTAACGAATCTGGACTTGAATAATAACTTACTTTCAACAAAGATTTAACAAAGAGAAGGCTAGTGAAACTTAGTGTGTAGGACATCAGAAATGAGTTGCAATTAAGATGCATTCACCTAAGATGTAATCATTGATACTATTATAAACAACTTTCCATGACAGGACAATCCAAGGGTAAATTGTTGAATAGATGCCAACAACACAATCCAAGGGTAAATAAATTGTTGAACAGATTTTAACAGATGAACTTCTATCAAGTAGATAATTTAGAAGTAACGATTCAAAAATCAGCACAGGACACAAAATGCTAATTACCTAATTTTAGAGTCCGTGATGTCAAGTTCAATGTGCAGACAGTTCCTGCCGCCTCCTTTGTGCAGTTCGCGGTTCACTAAAACCCGCGACATGAATGGATTTTTGGCATCAAACGGCGGCCGCTGCTTGTCAGGCTGAGCAACGCAACAAGCAATGAGAATCATAGAATATGTGGAATGTGTAAAATATAGTGGAATATTAGATATGACAGCCGCAAAGTTTAAAGAGTATTACTGGACAATTTTTATACTAGTCAGGCAGCAATAAATGCTGGTTGCAACAATATTCAATTGTTTGAGAAGCATCTGCAGAGTCATACTACTCTAAAGTCAAAAATAAAACACGATAACCAAATATTATAGCACAAGAGAAAAACCTAACAAAAATGTATCACAACGTACCAAATGTGACTTAAGTCTTGTTATTTCTCCAGTGAAAGTTTTGTTAGGGTCAGGGTTGGTGAGCTCAGTGAGACTGTACTGCCTCATGTTGATGTCTTGACCAGTTGCGTCCAGACCAAAGAACTCGCACACCTGCAAAATTTCCACACTAGTTATCTTAACAGTGGAGCAGGGAGAGCTGCAACGATGAGTTTGATTCAGTAGAAAACACAAATAAATGAGAAATCTTAAGAAATCACTATCATCACTTTAACAATGAGGGAGAATACAAGGGGTAAAACAAAGTGTAGTCATCTAGTGAAGAAGTTTATGTAAGTTTATATTATCTTACTTTATTAAAGTTAAAAGATTTTGTTATCTCAAATGAACATGTCGCAGGGATTTGGAATCAAAGAGAAACTGAGCAGGAACTTTTCACGATTCATATTTATTTATGGATACTTACTAGAAATAGAAACTATTTTTAAACTCGAAAGAATTCAAGTATCATACCTTCGGCCACATTTCATCCTTCCAAGTGATGAAGTCATCTTCCATGTTGGCATCGTCATCTCCTTCCCCCATGGGATGTATGCACTTGGCTCCTAATTCAATCAACCTTTTGTTGACATAGCGGCCAGTTGCATTGTAATGCTCATAAGTCTTGTTTCCCAATGCAAATACCTGGCAAAAAATGACCAGTTAACACTAATTAACAAGTGCCTGAGGCTATACAGACAAAATACTACAATCCAATAAGGTAGAGCCTGTAAGGATGGAACTTCATATGCAGAATCTAAATTTTTCAAACCATAAGCTTTCTGCTATTTGTAAAGTCAACTGTTTATTCCAGCTTCAAGGTTAAATTATGATGCCCTAAAACTATTTAAAACAAAAATAATCTGCAGAATGAAAAATCATAAATGTATGTTCATAAAAATATTAAATCACATCCAAGCACTTCAACTATCACCACTATCCACTTAACCTCACTGATATACAAAACAACTTAAATTACTTTACTAAATGGAATAAACTCACGCAAAAGTTAAGATTGCTGAGGTCAAGTTCCTGGTCTATGAGCATCTGATAGAACTCAGCAGCATTATCAGTGGGGTCGCCTTCACCATATGTGGCCATGCAGAAAATGGCAAGGTGGTCATCTATTTCAGCAGGCAGCTGAGCAAGGTCGTTCATATCAAACTCCTCAGGATCTGCCACCATGCTCTGAAGACACAAGAAATATCACAATTTTCAGGTAAATAAGTTGACATTCATTAACAATCATATGTATGAGGTTGAAAGGTAGATTTTAGGAACCGTCATTGGATTACTATGGCTGCACTCTGAAGAGTAATCACATGAGGCTAAGTTTACCCATAAAATCTGACCATTGATTTCAGGCAATAATATGCCTATTGAAGCATTAGATAAAAGTCTAATTATCTAGAGATTTGCTTTGAAGATAGGGAACTGCAGATCACCATTAACCAGCTAATTTGTAATTTAGCATTTTTAGCAATGATGTAGGGAAAATTGACAGCACATACCTGTGAGTCAAAGACTTTGTCATTTTTATATTTATTAGTATTAGTTCTCTAGAATTGGGTACAATAAGTTTGGGTGGATATTGATATCTGTACAGAAGCCAGTTGTCAAGTGTGAAGATTGGTCATGCCACCCTGAGATACATTCTAAATAATCATCTGCATTTTATTAGATTTTTATTCAAGATGAGACAATAATTTAAGTTTGTCCCAATTATTTTAACAATTTTCAAACTAGGTACATATATAAAATGACTTGGCTAATGTCTATCTTGTGAATGACAGAAATTAGCAAGGGTCAGAGAAAGCTTCTCCACATGCTAGTGAGAGAATGACTGAACCTTAGGAGAGATACGCACAAGACACGGCTATCACTGACCCGCGCTGATGTACTATAACGTGAGCGCAACACGTCATACTATATATATACTATCGGTATATACATACTTTACTCAATTAAGCTAATTTAGGTCTCTAATTGCTAGTTTTTAGGATTGTATCTGAAATTGTTAGGCGAAAATAGCCTGCATGCCGAATTTCAGATCTCTAGAGCAATCAGAAGTGGGCTAATTTTCGTTGTCAATGTTAACAACAAACAAACGCAAAGCTGAGTAAAGAAAAACGTGTTAAAAAAAATTAGCAGCAAAATTATTGTACCAGCAATACATGGCAAAGTCTTCCCATTAATGTAACTGCAATATTTTGACTAATCCTTTCACTAATGTTGTGCAAGGATTAGCAGCAAAATTATTGTGCCATCATTATATGGCAAAGTCTGCCCACTATTGTAACTGCCAAGTTGTTTTGGTGGCCAAATGCTAGAAGATCTGTCCAACTGGTCAATAATGATCATGGGTTTAGCTAGTTGATTCTGAATCCACATGTATGGAATGTTTTGTAGGCAAGTGGAATACGCTGTCATGTCCATATTGTAATATATATGATGTCTTGCATAATTATGTCACATCTTCAGAAATTCTTCGCTCTGAGCTGTTTTTGTGTCAAAATTTATTCGAGTCCACGCATTTGTGTTGAACTAAAATCCCGGAGGCGCAATATCAAATATCGCAATATTTGAAAGGTGCTGTATATAGCGAGATAAAGTAAATGGCCACATCAATAATCATTAAAGACCAAATCCATGAAACTTTAGATCTGACCCAACATCTGTTTGACTTTTGAATTTTCACCCCAATTGTCAGTGATACTAATAAAATTCAGATCAAGGAAAAGCCAGGGTGTGACAGCGCCAACAGCGCTGGGGCTCCATAGAAGGCAGTGATTTTGGATGGAAGGTCGGATCTAGCTAATAATGTTGTTATGGAGAGCAAACCTGTATTCGTGACGACCTTGTGATGTTCATGCTTGAAACCTCCTTCAAGTGATGTTCCCTTGCCTTGTAGACCTACGTCTTATGGATTAATAATCTAAACCTGCACCAGCCACCTCGGGATGATGGACCTCTCTTCGAACACTACGCTGGGCCGAACTTACCATGGAGGCCAAGTCTTTATTCAGTACACTGTAAGTCTGGCAATGACAGAGCGTGATTCATTGTGAAGGAGTGTGTTGGGTTAAAGATCTAATAGCCGCTTCACAGCCTGATTTATAACAAAGATGTAGGGCCAACTGATCTAATCTTATTTTGTCAATAGAGCAAATGAAATGAAATGATTTTTTGAATTGATCCAAATGATGTATAAGTGATTGATAACTGATCCCAAATTGAATAAATGATTGTTAAACTTGCTAATTGATCTCAAAGAAACAAATGACAAATTCCAAGTACAATGATTGTGATATTAATCTCTCCTCGGTATATTAATGTCATCTTTACTATTTACTTAATAGATGCCGCATGATGACGTATGCATGGCATCATCCGCCTCAAGTTTTCTGCTGGCCCTTCATTGAACGAAACAATGGCGGAATTTGCGCAATTTTTATTTTCTGCACATGGTTGGTCAAATAAATTATTTCGTATAAACAGTTTTTGCCCTTCCGCCATAAAGTTTTTGTTATTTCATTAAAGTCAAGCCTATAAGCTGCAAAATATCCATTTCAGGCTACAACTTGAACCCAAATCATATGAGATATCTCTTTAATTTGAAATAAAACAAAACATTTACATACATTTTGGTAATTGCAATGTGATATCTCATGTTTCTTGAAGTTATAAATCAACAAAGCAAATTTCCATAAAATGAAGAGTACCTTTAATCCATATCTTGTGGCATCCTTGGCAAGCCGTCCAGCAAATTCTTCAGCAGTTCCAGTCTGTGATCCATAAAAGACCACAACTTTGCTGCCTGATCTTTTCATTTTGCCAATGAAGCTGCTGTCATCGGAGCGGTCTGATGTCCGCATGAGTGGAGATGAACTGAATAAAGGTAGATTTCAAAATAAATAGACAATATAAGCTGCTTTTGATTCTGCAAGAATTATATTGACTAAAAGTTGAGATTTTTAATTCATATGAATAAGATTTCAACAAAAATGTCAATATCACTATCAATTCTAAAAGCAATTGTGGTAGAGTGGCCTTAGTGTGTCAAAAAAAAAAAAAAAGACTCTGAAGCTGTGCACTTGTGTGAACACTAGCAAGAACAAACTTTTCAATAAATTATAAATATATATTCAATCTTTAAAACAAGTACCTCAATTTAACAAAATAATTAGATCCAAGTGCTAGGGTATTAATTAGAAGTTTTTGAATTGAACATCAATTTATACAGGGATACAATCTAAAATACAGCAGTCATGGACATTTATACATGTACCGTACACCAGTAGAACCAACAAAAACAAGCCTTTACTTGAAGTTTTCTTTGGCAAGTGTAAATGCATCGAAGTAATAAAAAAAAATTTTTGTTACTCTCTAGGTAGATCGATTGATATTTAATACCTACTAATGTAGTGGATTGTGAAGTCTAATGAGGTTAGGTGAGTTACCAAGTTCTGTTGTATGTTCAACTCCTAACAATAGATATATTTTGGTTGAATTTCAACAACCAAATTTAGAAAAATTTACTAGAAAAAAAGATAAGAAGAATGTCCGCTCTGGCAGGACCTCAGACAACACCACCACATAACCTCGACCCTACAGATCTGGAGCGACCCCCTGTCGGTGGTGTCGTACTTGCGTGAGGGGGGTCTCTTGTAAAATTGAGACCGGGGAACCACAACAACAACAACAACAACAAAAACAAGCCTTTACTTGAAGTTTTCTTTGGCAAGTGCAAATGCATCGAAGTAATAAAAAAATATTTTTGTTACTCTCTAGGTAGATCGATTGATATTTAATACCTACTAATGTAGTGGATTGTGAAGTCTAATGAGGTTAGGTGAGTTATTAAGTTCTGTTGTATGTTCAACTCCTAACAATAGATATATTTTGGTTTAATTTCAACAACCAAATTTAGAAAAATTTACTAGAAAAAAAGATAAGATTGTAAAAAATTAAAGACAATTCTCATTTGATAGAATAATAAATTTCTCATCTTTAAATGATTAAATCATAAGGATCAAAGCATGAAATAAGAATATTGAACCCACCTGATATGAATGTTGGCTGGAGGAACATCCTCATTGTCACCTCTACCTCTGAAGTAATACCAAGCTATGACAGCTATCAATGCTCCTATCAAGATGGTATCCATTGTGGAGAACCATCCTTCTTCAATTTCAGAAACAGCATCAACTGAATCCATGGTCAATTATCTTTAAAAAAAGTTTCCACAATCCAAATGAATCTGTTCTGAAAATAATGATATTTAAATATATAAATAGGTCTAAATATAAAGCTAAATGAATGCCCAAAATTGAACTCTCTAAAAGGATGCCCAATTTTAAAGTACAATTCAAAATGAAGAGCAATAGGCTACGTCAAAACGGAATGCAATGTGCATTATGTGGCTGGCTTTCAAGTAATACTGACTATGTTTGGTTCAGTATCATCCAGCATGACTAATTTCAAGGCTGTATGACGTCACTATCACTGTGACATTCATTCTATCAGTGCTGCATCTACTCCTATCTAATTTTTTGGGAGATAAGCTATCTTATCTATCACCATATCAAATATAGCCATCTTGTGTCAATTCTTGAAGAATACAAATTAGTAAAAGAAATCTTAACATAGAGCCTTCAGAGAAGCATGTATGAGAAAAAAACCTGAATAGAATATACTAGTATGCACTTGAAGATCAACAACTTCGATATTTCCAGCCCAGTTTTGTAAATGTCCTGTGAATTATATACCTACTATATTGTCTTCTAGCCTAACTAGACTGAACTGAAGTAAACCTTTCATTCCAGCATACAACATGTGCAATTGATGGCACTAGTGAATAGACTGAATTAGCTCTGCCCCACTTACAACCACCAGTTGCCAGGTAATTAAAAATGCACTTATTATTATTCAGCTCATATCATTAGTTTGGCAAGAATTTGAAAGCAAATAAAATGATAAGTTATTAATCATATCTTCAAAGCAAACATTTCAGAGAGCAGCTTCATTATCAGTTCACAAACTTTCTAGGATACAAGTACAATCAGTACGTAGTGATAATCAAAATATACAACAAATAGGGTAAACCAAACTAATGAGAAAAATACATTTGAAACATAAAAAAAACTATCGATTTACAATTTCAAGAGGGTAAGATCTGTAAGCAATATCACCTCAAAATTTGTGTTTCAAAATATTCAGTGCTGCATATATGTATTGGCATCATTTCAAGCTCTCCATAAGCAATCTTGATCTTAATTGGTATCCATGACTGATCATTAACTATGGACTGATCATTAACTATGGAACACTGGCATCATTGCATGTATTTCCCCATTGTTTTGACTGCATGTATCAGTCACATGTATCATCCTGCATCAACCATTGTCTGCTGATCAATCCTGCATCAACCTTTTAAATCAAAAGCTTAAATCTCAATGTAGATCATTGTGCATCAGCCACATAGATTGAAAATCACAATCTAAAGAGCAGCACAATCTTTACTGTACCATACTTTACAGTCTGGCAATACCAGACATCAACAAATTTGAGATAATTCATCAAGCAGGCATTACAAGCAAAAGCTAACTTAGCAAAGCACAGGATTTAAATTTTCATACTTATTATGCAAATCTTGTGGCCACAAATCTACAAATGTTCAATGCATTTGGAATTATGCAGTCACATCCCATACATTTTAAACAAATAGGTAGGATGTTATTAATCAGGCAAGAATCTAACAGCTGCAAAAATTTAGGAAAAGCTCTATTTGCTGCTCAAGTGCTTGATGAAACACTGTCATCAATGAAAGTGAGTCATATAATGGAAGTGTGTCAAAGGATGCAAGTGAATCAAAGAACAAAAGCAAGTCAGAAAAGGAAAGTGAGTCTAAGGACAAATGTGAGTCAAGGAACAAAAGTGTGTCATAGGATGAAAGTGAATCAAAGAACAAAGCAAGTCAAAAAAGGAAAGGGAGTCACAAAAGGAAAGTGTGTCATAGGATGGAAGTGAATCAAAGAATGAAAGTGAGTAAAAAAAAAGGTTTTAAATCAAAGGACAAAAGTGAGTCAAAGAATGGAATTGAGTTCAAACTAAAGTAGGTCAGCAAACAACAGTGTGTCACCAATGAACAAAAGTGAGTCAAATAATGAAAGTGAGTCAAATAACAAAAGTGAGTCAAAGAACAAAAGTGAGTCAAAGAACAAAAGTGAGTCAAAGAACAAAAGTGAGTCAAAGAACAAAAGTGAGTCAAATAATGAAAGTGAGTCAAAGAACAAAAGTGAGTCAAATAATGAAAGCGAGTCAAAGAAGAAAAGTGAGTCAAATAATGAAAGAGAGAACAAAAGTTTTGTTCTTTTGTTTCATCCTCTGATACTTTTGTTCTTTGATGACACCTTTGTTCTCTGACCCACTTTCATTTTTTACTCACTTTTTTGTTCACATGACTCACTTTTTATATTCATTTTGTTTAGTGGGTCATTTACTTAGATTCACCTTTGTCCTTTATACTTAGTTATATTCTGCAAGCAACTAATGCAGGCACTAATATTATTCTCAACTTTACTGTAGTTTGTTTCAGAAACCAAGAACAAACGTATACAATCAAGGTGGCAACTCGAGTCCTCTTGCAATATATGAGGCTTTAAATGAATAAATCTAATGTTTTTGTATGAACTTGAAATTACTTAGCAATAGAAAAAGTGACTTTCTAATCAAATGTCTGTGAAAATACATAAAGTCATACACAAAACTTTTTCCATCTCAATGTCATCAAGAAGACTGGTGTCCAACTGAACTCATTTGAATATGTTGCATACTGCAGGAACGCCATTGAACAAGGCAACTCTAAGCAGTTTCAAAGTGCTACCCGTTACTCAATCCCAAAAAGTTTGGGAACCATTGCTGTTTGCCTGTACTATGTAGTGGTAAAATTGATCAAATAGGGATAATTTTGGTCAATAGCATTTGCTTACAATCATTGAAGTCCTCCCATACCATATTGCGCAAGAAGCTTTGAGATTTACAGCATGTCAATCACAAATGCATCTATTGTAACCTGTTGTCAATGTACTTTTCAGACATACAAGTATATAGACAGGTATTGTGCAATGGTATCATGAATTCATTAATCAGACCATGTTATGCTCATAACTTTCAGATGTAAATAGTCAGGCATAGTGTTTGCTTATCAATTGTTGATGCATCATTATGTCATTGAAATTGATATTACTTAATACTCTTGGAGGAATATTGAGACTTCCTTGAAAGAATTGTATGGTGGTTTGAGTATCCAGAACATCAAACATGGCATCCTTGATGATAACTCTCAAAATCAAAAGATATTGAACAGCATTTGTTTTTAGTTTGTATTGCTACTACCCATTGCTTGCTTAATATTCTTAAGACCTGAGGGGAGAGGCATTTTAGTCACATTAGTCATATGACTATGTAGAAGGGCTGAAATTTTACTGGGTCATGACACAATATGTGTTTTTCAAAACAGACTCTTTAACTGTCATATTCCCTTGTTATTTTATCAACTAGTGCCTGCCAGCAACCACCATCCGCTCGCCATTAATTTTGGCATCCTCACCGTCTGGTTACTAATGCATATCAGTTTACACCATCTATATTGGTTTGCCTTGGCATCATTAGATTAGAAAAACGAAATCCTCAACCTATGTTGTGCCATGCTTTACAGTCTTGCACAGTAACTAGTAAGTAACAACACAAACCAAGGCATGAAGCAGTACAACTCAAGTTGATAGTTGATACTGGCAATCCATTAAGTTAACTACTAAAAGTCTAACCCAGTGGTTCCCACAGTGAGCGGTACAGGCGTACAGCCCTCTGGGCTGACTGGGGGGTCGTGGAATGTGGATTACTTGGAAAGATCTGGGGAGGCAGACAGGCAGTGGGGAAGAACAAAGCAATAGGGGGGTGGCAGACAGCAGTCACAGTCTGAAATCAAAGACAGGAGTTCAAAGTCAAGCGTTTGTTTGATAATTTGCGCACAACACGTGCAGGACACGGCTCCCAGACCGTCCAGGCCGGACGGTCAAGGCTCCCAGTGATAAGTTTTTTTCCACCCAGATCAGGATTTTTTTAACCTCTCTTGGGATTCAAGAGCTGAAAAAGTTCAAACTGCTAAAAAATGTACTGGTTTACTAAATAGTTTTATTTATGAAATACACATTTGTGTTCAAGTTTAACCTTTCTCTTTTCAAATTGCAGCTTAAAAAACATCAAGAAAAAGGCATTTTTCATGGACTGCAATAAATGGGTGGGTCTGGATCATGGATGAGAGATGACCCACTAAGATTGTCAACCATGTCCACATAGCAATGCACTTTTTAGACTCGCTTGCCAGACTGCCAGTTGCCCCATTTGTGGGTCATACAGAATTACAGACAACAGAGTTATTGACCTATTACTGGCCTTCTAAATTACAGGTGTCAGGTTGACTCACTTGCTCTCATGCTCTGACACCCAATCAGCCAAATGATCCCTACATATTCATGCTATGGCCCTGGGAGGCTGGGCCCATATGGGAGGTGTGACTGGTGTCAAAAGCAGTTTTACACCACAAGTTAGTCAGTCATACCTGAAATTTAAAGGGTCCGTATGACCCAAAAATGGGGCAAGTGAGTCAAAAAGGTGCATTGCTATTTGGACCAATTAGACACGTTGACTCAACTTACTGGGTCAGCCAGACAGTCAGACTCAGACCCACCCATTTTTCTGTGTTTGTCTGTGGTGCATACTCAGTGGTGGGTTTGGGCGCTAGGAATTCACTGGGGAGCCATCAGCCAAGGGCAAAGGGGGCACCACTCAGCAGTCAGCACTCGCCAGCCTGCAAAAGTTTGGGACTTTGTGAACCACTGATCTAACCAAACTTCCTAAGATTGTGCAAACTACAAAGCTAATAAAGGGAACAGTCTAAAATTGTCCATCGTGAGCATATGAAGAACCTTGAACATAATAAACAAAAAAAGCAGTGGATATGAATGAGCTAAGAAGAATTTAATTGAAATGCCATCTCTACTGCAGTTTACATTCATTCTGGAAGAACTACTGATAATTGAAAATAACTTCTGATCTTTTAAGTTTCAACTGCCTTACCTTTAAGCGTGTGAAGCTTTAACTCAATTTGTTCTAGGTATAGTATAGGAGTTTGAATGACCAGTTTAAAACATACACATTCTCTCCGAAATTTTACAATCTCAATTAAATTTTTTGATCTCCATTACCTACTGAGTGACTAGGTACTG